CTTCTCTGCACTGCGCCGTGAGACAGATGCAGCTCTCCTGGTGTTCTGAAATGCAGAGTGCGTGCTCCTTAAATACCCCCAAAAATGATCAAATTGGGAAATGTGTGCATTGGGCCCTTCTAAGTGCACTCTAGACTGTGTTCTGCTGTTTGTTTACTTAATTGCGGTCTGTTGCCCAGCCTATGTGCAAATTGTGCATCTTGGAGGGCCATATGACGAAAAATTAATATAATGGGAGAGTGTGTACAAGACATGTACAGCAGGCACTGGGGGAAGACCTGCTGATGTAGGGAGATGTATGTAGATGGGTAAGCAAGGTAGGCAGCTTGTGTCTTGGCACTTGCATAGCATGCTTGAGGAATGCACTCTTGTCTACTTCTGATGTGTCTCTATCAGTATACATATTGCATACATATTGCATGTGTATAGTATGTGTATACGTGTATGTATATCATGTGTTGTATGTGTGTATAGTTCTGTGCAGGTGTACGCATAGGTTTTCATGTCTGTGCAGAGCCTTTTTGTTCTTTATGTGGCTGGCGTGTGATGCAGAGTTTGTTCAGCTTTCTACATTGCGCTGAGTGTTTGCTGAGAGTGGTTCTTCAAAAAGTGCAGCTTTCTGATTTTCGTGTGTCTTTATCTTTTTTTTAGAAGAAACAAACCCTTCTGAACAGTAGTGGTAGTGCGAATATTGTAGAGTTTATTTTTGCAAAGATGTAGAAGAAAGGATAATAAGAAGACATAGACAGCAGAACGAAGACATAGTACAGAAGAGGTAGATTAGAGATGGAGAGTACGGGATAAATGTATAAAGCATGTATAAAGCATATATAAAGCATGTATAAATGCAGTTGAATGAATAGAAAATGCGTATGAAGATTATAGTGCATTTATAAATTCTATGTGATATATATATATATTTAAGCATGCCAAAACAATATTTCCAACATTTAGAGCGGCATACAAGCTTTTAAAAGAGAAATAAAATATAGTTTTCTTGGTTACTATAGAATATGCTTGCATTTGAAATATCATTATAAAGGAAAATTTACAATACGGATTGACGTGCCCAAAAGAGGGAGACGAGCTTATATTCAGTTTCTGATATACGAGGAATTGTCCAGAAGTTTCATTTATTATTGATGCACTTTGGTTACTCCATAGACTAGCTCGAAAGGTGTACACTCAAGTATGTGGTGGTGCGTATAGTTCAATCGTCTGTGAATTAAGTCCACTGCCTGTCCTATTTTAATATCTGCGTCGTGGGCCAAAATGAACTTAATGTTTTTCATATTCCGCCTGTAGCTTAGCCACCATCTGTTGCTCGGTTCTTTCTAGCCGGTCTATGTAGTCGTGTACGGATGTAGATGGGTCTACTGGGAAGCTAAGTAAGGTTTTTGCTGTCAATCCATTCACTATGGTTTGCATAATTAGTCCTTGCAATTGTTCCTCTGGCACAGGAAGTATTTGACAATGTATGGCTGTTTGTTTGACTGCTTCGTAGAAGTCTCGAATGAATAAAAAGTTCTCTTGTCTGAGGTTGGCGCCCAGGGGAGATTGTCCTTCCTTTTCGTAGTGATGACAGATTATGTCCAGAAGGGCTTCTAGGGATGTATGTCCTTGGAGAAGGGGTTCGAGCTCCTTCGGTACTAAGTAACTGACAAGGATCTGGAAGTTGGTGTTCATACCGAACATGGTCACTGCCCTTTGGATTCGCTTTCTCCAGAGTCTTACGAATGGTTGCATCTCTGGGGTCATCACTGGAAGCTGGATCATTAGATGTCTCGGGGTTTTCTCAGACTCAGATTTCATGAAATAGCTGGCATTGATTGCTTGTTCTCCGAATATGGCTTTTTGCTGTTTCTCACTAACATACTCTGCTCTATCCAAGATTCTTATCTCCTCTTTTTTGGTTATGCTATTTTCTCTACTAGACTTTCGCATTAATGAATTCATTATGACGTGCCCAAAAGGGGGCGATGAGCTAGTCTGGAGATAGTAGTCTAGAATAGAGAGTGTAGTTGTCAAGGAGGTTTTATTCTCATAATTCTGCGGATGTCTTTGATGACTTTGACCTTTTTTATAAGTGTTGGATGTATTTCTTCTTTCTGACATGTTCCGCCTTTTCAGTATTGTTTTTACTATTTTATAGTCATTCTCTGATATATACGAGGAATCTTCCGAAAGTGTCATTTATTATTGATGTACTTTGATCACAGAATTAATGAAAGTGGGAATTTACCACACTTAGAAATTAATATTTCTTCTTTTAATCTCTTTGATGTGTGGGTGTGTCTTTATCAGTCTGATATTAGTCTTATATAACCCGAATTCCAAGTTTATAAAATGTAACAGAAATCACTCATATACTGATGCGAACCGCAGGAGGCATTTTATTAGTTCATTCGGAGTCCAATATATCTGAAAAATGTTTCCTTCTGCGTATGTGACAATCTCTTCATGACTATCCTTTTAATCTTCAAAAAGGCTCTATCAATTATAATACTTGTGTTAGCTGTTCTTCCATGAAATAAGTTCAAATATGCCATATTCTAGGCATATGAAATATTCTTCTTGTTAGAATACATTTCGCTATAAATAATTTTTCTAGCTGAGAATAGCTATGCCTCTTGTGCTAGAAAGTAAAGTCAACTATGCTTTTTCTTTCATAGGAGTATATTGAAGTACGCCAGCATATGGCCAGCTCAAATATAGGAAATCGAATTGTTTAAAGAAAACAAACTTGTTGCACATAGCTTTCTCTAATCTATGTCTTTACTTCTCTCATATAACTATAGAAAAACTCACCACATAATAATAGTTTGTATGCAGAAGCAAAAAATACAATACAGTTTTACATATATAGTAATGCACAGGATTCAAATATGCTTTAAATTAACATATAAACAAGCAAAGATGCATTAGTGGCATAACTTTATCTAGAGGCACATTATATTATTTAATATTACACTATAAGAAACATACTGTATTATAAGGCCTTTTTCTGAAGAAGCTCTTGTAGAAGTTTATACTTATACTCTTTATATGTGAGCACTTACTTGTATTAGAGGTTGCATAGAATACTTCTTAGAGTAAAATGCTTATATATGATATAGAGCAGCAGCTTGCTAAGTTTAAAGAGCTATAGAAAGAAAAATAAGAAGAAGCAATGAGCAATTAATCGTTCTTTTATCAATATGATATGTATTTGGAGGTATATCAGTATGATTGCATTTTTTGTTTATAATAGACGATGCAGCTTAGAAATGAGTTAGAAGAAAATAATTTTAGTATAAACAAGTATTCAAAGCAAACTGTTTATTGCTTTAGCTATTAGAAAGCGTACAATAAAAGCCTCATTTCTATTAGAAAAAAGGGTTCTTAAGTGTAAATATGAATAAGATATTATTGCTTTAAAGCATATTTATACGAATATATTGTTGTAGTTTTGGCATGTATGCGCCCACACATTCAAAATGAGCTACTATTATATGTATTTATTTGTGCTAGCCAAAACTCGTGCTAGTACTATAGCAGTTATCACCGCGTCTAGTTTTAATCAGATTTAACAGAGTCAATTGCCACTTTGATTCCAAGCAGCACGCCAATTGCTGGGATTACAGAGGGCCACAGGAATAAAAGAGAGATAGCAACGGCAACGACAAAAAGAAGGACTATGCTGTATATTCTACCTCGAGGGTTAGCTGATTTCTTCTTTAAAACTACCATTAAAATTTTTTAAGCTAGATTTAGTTTTATTTAGCTTTATTTGGCTTTACAAGCCCCAATAAAAATGTACAAATTATATAAAACTTTTACCCCTGATTTTTAATGCCAGCAGGAGAGAGAAGATCCCACCAAAGTAATAGATTTATTCTAGTACAGTTCATACTGATATATTTCTTTATACATATAGTAATATACTCATCGCACAACTACAGAGAAACAATTGCGAAGGAGATATTCGAGCTTTCTTCCAAAGAATACTCATTAGTTGAAATGATAAGTGTGATTAAGCTGGGAGGCTCCATTACATCCACCTATATATCGCAGAAGTATATAAGGCCGCTGATTGTCACTCTAATGTCCACATGTGCGTTTATCCTAACGCTTGCCATTCTTATTAACAAAATGGTGACGGATAAAAGATTAGTCGTTCTTCTTGGATGCATCCACATAGTGGCAGACTCAGCAATTCTCCCCACGATTGACTCCGAGTGTCTAGCGGTTCTTAACAGTAGGAATATAGGGCAAAAGTACAGTAAAATCCGTGTGTTTAGTACTATAGGACATAGTATTACATACATTATAAACATAGCCATCCAGAAGATAGTTCAAGAGAATACTCTGAGCAGAAGTATTTTCCTAAACACTCTTCTGTTTGGTGCTATTGCTATTTCTTGCATTGTTTTTTCCATTGTAAATGTAGAGAGAGAGGTAATAGAAGTACTCGAAAAACAAGCAGAAGTAGTTAGCACAAACAGTGGAAGCTCGGAATCTGTAGTGGCTGAGAATGCTAAAGAAAGCAGCGCGTTTTCTATTGTTCTGAATGGCATTATCTATCCTTTCCGCCTTGCTGCAGAAAATGTTATGTTTATTCTTCAGATGTTCAACAAAAACTATGCAACTCTTATTTTATGTGCAATGGGCAGCGGTATCTCCCGGTCATCGCTTCAGTCATACTTGAGCGAGTATCTGAGAGAGACACGGTCAAGCAAAGGAGAACAAGGGTACATATACTTTGTGCGGACAATCTGCGAGCTATTTGTGTGGAGCATAGTGATTTGGCTTGGAGATCGAGTGACCTTGGAGGTGCTGCTGACAGTGGGAATCTCTTTGGGCGCAACTCGATCGCTTCTCTACTCGTTTATGCCAACCAACCCGCTGATTAGAGCTTTCCTCCCCTACATTGCTGAGCTATTTAAATCCGCATACAGCGCATTATTTATCTATGTGGCCGTGAAGCTAGCACACAAGTTCTCAAAGCCTCACCAGAGAACACTTGCACAGGGAGTGTTTACTGGTGTGTACAGTGGGCTAGCGCCATTTTTAGCTGGAATACTGAGCTACAATGTCTTCTCAAGCACAGAGAGAACAGAACTCCAAAACAAAGAGCGCCTATTTAGAATAGCAGGATTGTGTGGAGTTGGAGCAGCTGCGCTATCTTCTACGATTTACATCAGGAAATATAGAAGTATGAAGCGTATTTAAAACTATCTAATAAACCAGTAGTATAACCCTTTATGCATTTGTTTGCGCGCGTGCATTCTAAAAATAAGATGCACATTTACTAGAGTAGAGTGGTTTTGGATTACTACTGCATGCTTAGAAGGTCTATTCGTATTTTTTCTCTGAAGCAAACACTAAGAATGGACAAATAACATGCGATAGGTGTGGCAGAAAAGACGCCTTATTCAATACCCATATTATCTTAAAGTATTTGGAAACTATGCTATGTAAGTGCTTCTTGCCGTCACATATATACAATTGGACAAAATAGAGCATGCAGAGTTTGCAAAGTACACTAGAAGCATCTTATGAATTCGGGCTATACCGGGTTATACATAAAATAGCTTTGCGTCTCGTACACATAAGAGAACTATTGTCTTTGCAGCAGACATATAAATAGTGAATTGTGTGATAAATTCTAGCTATAAACAAACAATGCATTGTATACTATATCATTTTAGTAAAGTGTATGAAGCTGTACAAAACAATAAAAGCAGTTCAAAGGACCTCTTTACTTCTAAATATTTATTAAATAGTGCTGTATTTATATTTCTAATATGCAGACAATCTTGTCTGTCATTCCATAAATTATTTTATATTAATTATTCTATTGTATTATTCTTGCTAGAATTGCTGCACATCCCTATGGCCTCAGCCTAAGGCATCTATTAGGCATTTAGATCCATTTGTGTGGGTGCTCTGTGCACAAGGCACTTTTGGCATACTGCAAGGAGTATGTGCATTGCATGCATTTTCAATTTATTTTTTAAATTTTCTGGCAGAGGGGGTTCATACTCTTCTGCTCTTCTCCTTTAAGTGCTCTTCTATCTTGTTTCTTATTTGTCTCTTCTCTTTTTCCTTTGGAGTGCACTTTTTCTTTAGCTTCTTATACTTTGATAGGCTCATTCTATTTCTTGGAACCACTTTCTCCTTTCTTTTATTTAGTACCCCCTGCACCATTCTATTTTGTATATGAAAAAATGGATTATTTCTATCTGAACCATCAAAATTATCTTTTGTTTATTTATTTAGAATCTTACAGAAAGAGATCAATCTATAATAATATGTCTTAGACTGAATCTTAAACTATTTGTGATTTATAAACATATGACGGAGAGAACGAGACAAGAAATAGATAATCAAATGAACAATATCAATGAATATTCGGAAGAAATAAATGATGACTATGAGGGAACAGAGGAATATCCTATAGATGAATACAGAAGTGTTCCAGACTACCAAAAGAGCTACCACACACAAAATCCCTACTCATTTGAAGACGAGTACACAGAAAAAAATACATGGGAAGAGTCATTAGATAGATATGGAGAATACAGGCCAGATGACTATAACCGAGAGGGCTGGCAGTGGAATGAGAGGGAGAGAGAGGAAACTCCCGTTGCCTGGCCCACCATTGAAAAAAAGTCAAAAAAAGAGAAAAGTGCTCCGAGAAAGAAGTCAAAGTTTCGAGTCTGCACAAACTGCGGAACAACCACTACGCCTGCGTGGAGAAGAAGCACAAGTAACAAAATACTGCTGTGCAATGCCTGTGGGCTGTACCAGAGGCTGCACGGAAGCAACAGACCATTCAGTGTGACGCCCGATGGAAAAACAAAGGCAATCAAGAATAATATTGAAAAGGGCATTTGCAGAGGATGCGGAGTGGTCCAGACCCCTCTTTGGAAAAGAGGAAACAGCAATGAGTGGCTTTGTAGCTCGTGCGGATTGCTGTACAGCCGAAGAGAAAGAGAAAGGGAGGAGTATGGGCAGGAGTGGTCAGAGTATTCACAGAGCGAGGCGTGGAAGTATACAGAGGAGTATCCTGAGGGCACGCGGTGGCATGAGAAAGAAGCCGGGCAGGACCAAGCCATTCAGTATGAGTATATGGATAAAGATGCAGAGGCAAACTATTTTGGAGATGATAGATTCAGAGGATACTTTGGATATTACGATCAGGAAAAAGAGTAGACCCGAATATATGAAATGTGAATTAAGAAAGACCATACAAAATACAATACATAAAGCAGTCAGAGTGGAAATAAAATACAATTAGTGTAGGACAGAGGATTTATTCAATGTGAATTAATTTAAAAAATATGCAATGCATAAGTGAGATGCATCCTGCTCAGGTGGTGCGGCCTGAGTTTCTTCATAGAATGACGCACGCAGATCTGGAGAAAGTAGACGTGGAGGTGGGAAAACATCTGCCGCAGAGAGACTTTTCGGACGCATTTGCGTGGAGAACAGTCAAAGGACTCCGTATGATTGCAGATGTTGTTTTTTACAAGAGATATGTGCACAGAGCTATTGTGTTGGAAACTGTTGCTGCGATACCCGGAATGGTGGGCGGACTGATCCGGCATCTGAAATCCCTTCGAAAGATGGAAGATGACACCAATATTCGGGTACTTCTGGCGGAGGCAGAGAATGAAAGAATGCATCTCATGACGTGGATGGAAGTTGCTAAGCCTCTGCTTCTAGAGAGGCTCATTGTTATGGCCCTGCAGGGCGTGTTTTTCAATGCATATCTGATGCTATACATTGTATCAGCAAAGACAGCGCACAGACTCGTAGGGTACTTGGAGGAGGAGGCAATTATCTCGTATACAGAGATGGTAAGAGAGATTCAAGCTGGAATAATTCCAAATACGCCAGCACCAGAGATAGCCAAGAAGTACTGGAACTTAGGAGAAGATGCCACTCTGTTGGATGTAACACTGGCAATTCGGGCTGACGAGGCAACACACCGAGATACAAATCACGAGATCGCGGACGTCTTAGAAGGAATTGAGTAGAAGTTTTATGGTGTGGTCTTTACACTTTTGGTATGCATATTTTCTCTTAGAAGGGATCTGCAGCTTTCAAAATAAATACTTTAGGACAAATGCTCTAGGTACGAATGGTGGATTTATGAAGCTGTGACACGTGGTGGCTTGTAGAGTTCCATGTATGCGGCCTGAATATTTTTGTCTTTTTATATGCTTGTCTAGAATGGCGGCTGGCCAAGGCTGCATTGCAAAGGTAGGTACTCTATGCCTGGAATATGAGTATGCAATTCTGGCATGCATGGGAAAATACCCAGCCAAAGAAATAGCAATATGCACCCTTTATTCGGGTTATGTCCACTCTATTATTAGCTAATTGGTCACTGCGTGAGTGGATGGGGATAAGTAATATAGGCCCCCTGAAATGCTCCAATATGAATAGATACTCTATGCTCAAGCGAAAGCTGCTAAATATAAAGTATTGGATAGCTGGGTACTCCAAGACAGAGCAGTGCATTAGACGTACCTTGAGCAACTACGAAACAGATGCGTTAAAAGAGGTTGGCCTTCTCATTTCTGCTGCATTTATGTGCCCAAAGCTACTGAGCAGAGCTCTAGAGATTGCGCTTGCCCGGCTAGATGCATATGATAGCATTTTGTTTCCTAAGCATATCCAGTACTATAAGTCTCTTCTTTTTATACAAAAAGTATGCATGGTAAGCACATCTGCAGAGGAAGAGGTGAAAAAGCACTACATCAAAATACTAGCCTTTGCATTCTATGACAAGGAGTGCGACAATCTTGATACGAGCATTCGGATCTCGTCCACCTCCATTCTCAAGCAAATAAACAAAAGCGACATGCCAAGCTTGCAGAGCCACACAACCTTTATGACATGCCTGTCACATAGAGACATGAACAGCATGGAATCACAGGGCTAGAAACATTCTTTAAGCACCAAAAAACTTTATATGCCTGCGAAAAGTAACTACTGGTGTCAAAAGAAGAGTAGACTGCATGCATTTACATAATCCAAGTTTGCGGGTAAAAAGTGGCCAATTGTGTGCATGTTGACTAGTATGCTGATAGAATATGTGTGAAGTATGAGGATTGACCAATCAGTGCTTATCAGGATGGCGCTGCCTGTGGTATAATAGAGCGGCTGAAAAGCATAGCTACCATGAATCTTGTGAAAATATTAGTAATGCTTTGCTGTTTAAACAATGATGCATGTGCAGAGCAAGACTCTTCTAACATTTTTCATTTAGGTGGAAACTCCATAATCAAGTGCAACATAGCAGAGGGATTTAATGGCCACGCCTCTCTATGGCCAGTAATAGCAAAAAACCTCCAGCGGCCAGGAAATGTTATTTCGTACGTTGTTCTGGTGCATGTCATAAACATGCCTGAAGTCCAAATGGCCAGCACCAAAGCCGACTATGGGGGAATAGCTAGTATAAACTTTAATTCAAGCGGGCAGGACGGGAAAGACATAGGCATACTTCTGGAAATGGATATCTCTAATGCTGCAGAAGAGCAAACCAGCCTATATGTAAATGAGATTGTTTCAAATGACCACATAGGAGCACAGCACGGCCTGCGGCTGTTTGCTGTTGCAATTCAAAAAGGAATTCCTGAAGACAATACGAAATAAATAGAGTATTTATAATGGGTGTGGATAATTTTTAGAATATAAAGCGCAGCAAAATCTTAAAGCCGTTTAGCTGTTTATAAATCCCTATGTACATTATATTTATGCCTGCAGCATATTCTCTATTTGAAATAATCTGTTCTAAGCGCCTGTTCTAGTGAGGTCCACTGAATCAGTCTATTTATGAGCGCGCATACACAAGATATAACTCGAATGCTTAATGTGGTAAAATTACCACTCCTTCGGAAATTCCTTATACCGACAGGGGGTTCAAAAATAAAATGATAGCGATGGTAGATCATCACTATCTCAAGATCAAAACCCTACTATAAATACAGATGCAATTCTGCAAAGGGAGCAGCAAGGGTGGACAATGGAACGAGCAATAAAATTTATGAGAAAGACTACCGGACATGGCAAGTCAAATATGAATCCAAGATCCCAGCGAGATACGCAGGACATGAATAAAAGTTCTTCTTTAAGTAAGATGTTGTCCCTCTTGGGTTATTACTTCCAGGCTATGACGCTTCCGCCATCGTGGCACGTCACTTAAATAGTATTTTTAGACCTTCTTTTTTGTAATATGCAGACACAGTCCTTAATAAGCCTTTTTATAGAAAGGCATGTACTTATATAACGAACTCTCTAACTGCAGTAGGCTTTAAATCATTTCACTGCTGCTGCCTTTGCCAAGGTCATAGTGCAATCAAACTATATTCTTCTTCCAGTTAAAAAGTTTGCTTGTAGTACGGGTTGTACTATAGGAATTTACAGCAACAGTAGAAGGAAACTCTTCTAGGCATATAATACAAAAAGCCCGAATATATTTCGAATTTAAAAAACTAAGTTGCTTGCATTTTAAACTCTATGCGCAAATACTTACTGCGTATAGCTGCACTGTTTGGCAGTATTGAGGAGGGAAAGATGGTCTTTGCAGTTAGCTAGAAAACATCAGAGTGTGCATCAGAAATACTATAACCAGTGAAAAAACTTTAAATTATAAAACTAAAACATACTTTTTTATTATGAGAGCGAATCAGACAAAGAAAATGATTTTAACATACATTAGTATGTTTTCTATTCTTTTATACAGCAAATATGCATATTGCATGTATCCTTTTTCGGATAGCCACATTCAGAGCAGCAAAAGAAAATCAAGGCCGCTTGATAACCTGCTAGTGAAAGATCTGCACAGAGTAATTAGCTATGAAGTTGAGGAAGTGGGCTCAAGAAGCCGAAGCTCCCCCACTGTAACAACTGCAAAAAAAGCATTAGAATACATGCTGCGTGCAACAGACAAATCCGAAATATCACGAATACTTAACTTTCCTAAGATTTTATCTGTTGAGGATTACCCAGTTTACCGCATACGCTCGCATGCTGATCTAATTAATAAGCTATTTCGGGTTTCTGAACTCTTTATTGGAAGTCAGAGCAGAAAGCTGCGTAGGGACATCGCAGCAGACGACTGTTTGAAAACAAATATCTGCCTGCAGTTGATAGTCTCTAATCTCATTGCGAGGCAGATATTCACAGTTCTAAAGATTACGCCGCTTACAGATGAAATGCAGATTGAGTTCTACATTAACCAGAAGATCGAGCAGACAAACACTGTAAACTTAAGTGCTCTGTCTAGCACACAAGAAGCACAAAACCAAAGAGGCCAGAACTCCAAGTTTTTCACTGTGTATGATGAGCTGCAGGGCCTTTGCTGCGGAAGAATCCGGCAGGCATTCAGCAACCTATCCATATGCGAACTAACGCACTATATTGATAAGTATCTGGACATATGCGATGAGTACAATGGGCAGGAGTTCTGTGACTACATTCTGAGAAAGGATCTAAATAAGAAAAACCCATTCAGCGACTCGCTTGATATACTGTCATCCAGCCAGGGATACTTGGATGGAGGGCAGTGCCTGGGGTGCTCTAAGCGCTATAGCCCAAATTCAAGCGTGCGCATGCACCCAGTCACAGGCATGTACGATAGATCAAATAGAAATAGCATGGACTTTGCAGGGCACAGAAGGAACATGTTTTACACGGGAGGTAGCAAAAGCACAGAGTGTAATCCTGAAATGGAAGAACCTCCTACATGTACAGCCCCACCGATTCCATCTAAGGCGTATAGCTCTCGCACACTAGAAAGATTCCGTAAAGATAGCGATAGAGAATCATCAATCTACCTAGTGCCCGATAGGTATAATCCGAACAGGCCTTTTTCAGAATTGACAAAAAGTAATTCAGAAAGCACGCTAGTAGGATCTCAACATACATATGAGTCAATAGTTACACGGAGGCCTCCATCTAGATATGCTCGAGAAGAAGAGTCTTCTCAGCGCAGTTTATCTGCAAAACCAACTGACTCACATAGCTATTCAGGTGGCTCCGTTCAGATACCTATGAAAAAGCCAAAGAAGAAAAATAGACTAATGCGCCAGATGTCAAAGATGTTTTCGCTCCTGCCATGGGGATCGAATGACACCAATAACTCTAAAAGATCTAGATCTGCATCAACTACACAAAGAGTAAGCGCGAATTCTTCATGCGCAAGCAGCCCGGATCGTTCTAGTAGAAATCTCAGGAATGCTAGAAGTCCTAGTGTTGCTCCTGCACGAAGGCCTAGTCAGGAATTCACTCCAATTAGACAGAGCAGGCTATCCCGCGAGAGCACATACAGCAATGAAACTATAAAAGCAAGCTCAGATTCATCTTTAGAAGTAGAAGTAGAAGCAGGAGTAGATTATCCAAAAAAGTACATGGCAGAGGTGCCCATAAAGGCGCAGCCATCAGCAAACAGCAGCCCAAGGCACTTAAAAAGGACAGAGACGATGCGGCCTGCAAACCTAGAACTGTTTGCTGAACCGTCACAGGCACCTGGATATAACCCCAGAATGTCACGTATAGAAGAGCCAAACCCAAAGTCCAGACCAAACACACCACCAAACACCCCAACCAAGCACACGGAAATTAGCCTTAGCAAACTCACAGAAGCTTTGGAATCCAAGGAGAGAGCAGAATCATCTGCTTCTTGCAGCCAAAGCTATGTGTCTGTTCCAGCTATTGTAATGAAAGTAGACCGCACCAGCACTTCTGCCAGTCCAATGCAAAAAGAGCAAAGAGAAGAAACCCCTCAGTTGAAAATCCCAAGCAGCAGTTCGGCAAGCAGAGTAAAAATGAGAGAGCTTCCAAAGAAGTATAATATAGATGCAACTGAAAAATCACAAGAAGGAACAGAGATGCAAGAGAAGGAGTTTTTGCATTTAAAGTCATTGATATCATCACATAAAAAAGACAAAAACAACCCGCAGAAAGCACATAAAAGAACAGATGAAGAAAAGAAAAGCAATGTAGACAGTTCCCTATGCGTAGAAGGACCCTATTTCTCACATACTCTGAATGGTATAGACAAGAAGAAGAGTACTTCAGGCACATCGGGCACACAGCAGTTAAAGAATACATCCACTATGTCTAAAAACTTTGATGAACTAGAGGTTATTATACATGATATGGAAAAGAGCATAGAGGATTTATTAAAAGCCAGACCTGGCGGATTATTCAAAAAGAAAGATGATATTTCAGAAGAGTGTCCAAGCCTAACCTAAATATGTGTTTCTATTTGAGATGAAGACCTCTAGCATGCAGCAAATACCACATGCCATTTAGAAGAGACAAATAGCTAGAAGTATTCACAAAAAACTAAAGAATATAGTTCTCTACAGGATTGAAATATGTGTTGTCTTCCGAACATATAGTATATGAAATATTCTATACGTAAAAATAAATGAAATAGATACTAAACATATAGTTGATTAGTATGTGCATCGAAGGCTTTGAAGCTATGGCCCTATGCTTGTTTTCTTAGAAGATTCTGTTAGCAGTCCCTAGCATATACAATATATTACAATTTTAAACACCAGTGGAGTGCATTAATTTTGCATTGGAAGCCTGAGAAGTGCACATAATGACTATGTGCGGTACTATTGAAGACCTCTCTTTCTAAAAGCCAAAAATTCTAATACAAAGAGCTGCTAATTAATTATTTTATCAGTTTGATAAGTATTGACATACGCTGTATCAGAAAGATTTTAAAGCTATCTATAAAGTAATATGCGAAAAAGGAATTCCTTTAATAATGCACCATATTTAAAAGCTATTTGTTACGCTTTGAATAATCCGAATCCCAAATAACCTTTATTAGCACTAGTAAAGGGACTTCTAGGCTCTATCGACTATAGCAGCGCGCAGATTCCCTAGAGATTTCCTCTGCATGTGTTTTTACATGGTAAGCTAGAGGAGTAGATAATAATTATGGATTTCTAACTTTGCATAACTAATGTTAAATATTTATTTTTCTAGTTATTCTTGAGAGGGAGTATCGCTCTTTTTAACCGACAAAGCAGCATTAGAAGCCGATGCAGACCTTTTGCTTGCTGATTTATTATGTGTAGCTTCTTTACTTGCTGAATTATTATTTGTGGCTTCTTTGGACTTTTTGGGCGTGCTAGGTGGATTCATAAGTTTATTAACACATCCTCTAATTTGTGCAATTTGATTTTTGTATTGTTTGGAGGAAGCTTGCATCTCGGATATGCTTTCTTTTGCATCCTTTAATTCTTGTAGAATTGTCTCTGCCCCTTCTTTTAGTCGTTTATATTCCTCTGCTTGCTCTTTTTCTTTTTCCATAGAATTTTTAGTCTCTTGCTCATTCACACATGGCCCATCTCTACTATATATGCCTAGTACATTTTTAAGCGACCGATCTATTATATGTTTTAGTGGGGTATTAAAATTGAGGAGATGTATGAGCCACGTGTCCATCTGGAATGTCAGGAGGCATCTGTTGCACTTTCTTTCTATTCTATGCTTTTGTCCATGCCCAATAGTCCTTCCTCCGCACTGCGGGCAAGGAACATCTAAGTAGAAAGTTGGAATTCTTTCATTGTTTTTTAATTTCTTATAGTTTATTTTAGCTGTCTCTATAGCGTCTTGGAAAAAGCTCTGGTCTGCCTGCCTTCTTTTCTTTGGGGGTGTTTTACTATCTATAGAATCATATATAGTTTCATCTTCTGAGGTATTTTCGCATGCCTCTGCGTATTCTTCGGCTTCTAGCTTTCCATTTGTCATATAAGAAATTTATGAAGAAAAAAGAAAAAGTATAACTGGGTGCTTTCCATCTATAAAAGATTTTCTTAATCATACTGTACAGGAGCTTTAAATGCTGTGGGTGCTCAACAGGGCCATATTCTTGGCAAATAAATATAGTTAAGAAACCGGTGCATCTTCTACTGTGAGGTGTCTATATCCTGTTTCTTGCTCGGTCCTTAGTAAATAGTGCTAATGCAGGCTTTATGTTTAGGCAGGGGCTGTTTCTGGCGGAGGAGAATAGTTGAAACCTGAAAATAGAGAGACTTTTGGTGTATAAGTTTGATTTTTTATTATGAATACTAAATCCTTGGTGGATAGACTATAGAAGAAAAAAAGAAGACACGGAATGTTTTAAGCAAGAAGCCCTCTACCAAATTATATGATATTTTCTATAAATACCCAAAAGCATAGTGTACTGTGTACTGATGGAACCATCCTTTTTAGGCTATTGCTTTCGATAGTTTATTCAGACAGAGTGAAATAGAATGTAATGTTTTATTGTTTGATTTTTTTCTTCCCACACAATGATATATGGAAGTGATGCTTACTTCAATTTATAAGCTGCAGGTGCACGCAGATGCCTTCCATTATTAATTAGGCAGAACAGTCATAACAGCTGAGTAGTACTGTGATATTTTAGTTAGCAGATCTTTTTCGGATGCCCCAATGGATAGATTCTCTATCTTTTGGATCTCTTTGCTCTTTGAGAGGTTCAAGAGGGACTCTTTCTCCTTGTTTAGAAGATCTAAAATCTTTTGAAGGTCTTCCGATTTCTTTTTTGACAATGCATACTCTATTTCATAAAAGTGCCCAATGATTCTTTCCACAATATTCTCAACTGTCTCCTCATACTGGGTGGTTTCTGTCTCCATGTCCCTCTCAAGATGCATGTCTTTAATATCGTTCTTCAAAGTAAGTATCTCTGCGGACATTGTCTGTTTTTGCGTGTTTATAATGTTTAGCTGCTTGCGGATAGAGTCTAAAAGCTCCTGAATGCATAGATCAGAGACTTGCTTTTCAATCATGGTCAGAAGTATCTCTATCTTCCCTTCTGCAGCTGCCTCAACTTCCAGATCTTTCCTTAGCTTTTCAACAGAAATAATTATCGCAGAGGGTGATCCCTGGCTCTTAACTGTCCCCTTGTACGGGCTACCGCTTTTTCCTATGATTTCTTCAAGGCTTTGCACCAGGGCTGTCAGACACGGTAGTTCGTCTTCTGGAGTCTTTGCATTTTTATGTTTTAGCACTAGATACGTGTCTTCTACTAAAGACTTAAGCTCTTCTTCCTCTAGAAGAGATATCTGCTCCCGAATTGTGTTTCTTTTTAGTGAATAGTTTGGAACAAACTCAATGCTGCCATTTTCCCTTCTTCGAATAATCTCTTCTTTTAGGTCTTCGCACACTTCACTGAACTGCTGGTCGTTAAAGAAAAAAACCTTTTCAATTGCCTCTTTCTTTTGTCCTTCAATTATAGGGCTTGGGTATCCTTCCAGAAACTGCGCAAATAGAGCTTGTCTCTCTATAATTTCCTCTGGCGTGGGTGGTGTGTACATAAGAATAACAAGGATATGATACTTTATATTACAGACACAAACAAATATGAAATTCTCCAGTCTGAAACATAGAAGTGTTTCAGAGCTGAAATAGACATCTTTTTCTATGCACATACAGAAAATATAGATTCAGTTTTGTATGTGTAATTTGCTCTATTTAAATGCCTACTAGAGAAATTGAACTTTTTAACACATTTATACATGTGTATAAAGCATTTGTGGTTATGATAGTATATCACATGATCTTTAGATATAGTCACAATATACTTCATCATAGTGCACTGGGAAAATGCTTTTTGATCGATAAATGCGTTTATGAATCTTCAATATTTATGTGAAAATGGAACTTATCTTGTCTACAATTTAAATAAAAGCTTTCATTTTAATACATAAGCAAAATAAATACGAGAAAATATATTTTTATACAGAGGATAGACTGCTGTAATAATAATATAGTATGGGTTTAATAAAAAAGAAATATATTCTTCGGAATTAAATAAAAAACATACATACGTATAGCACCAGATAGTATAAACATTAAGGCCCAAACAGAATGCAAGGGCACAAAAGTCACTTTATATATTCTCTAGATACTACATAGAGTGTATCAAGCAAAATTGCAGCAAGGATAAAATGCCAGGAACCATGAACAAGTGCTAGATATTCAATATTGCAGTGCTATAGAGTAAAAGAAAGGATAGTAAAATAGTTTATAACACCAATAGATGGATGCATTCTGAGCTGTCATATTTCAATATGTATCTTGGGTTATATAACTTCAACAATTTTGTATGGGTGCTGAAAGATCATAGAATTTTGGATCAACACTATAAACATATGTTTTTCTGGGTAAAAACATTTGTATTCTGCAGGAATCTTGTTGTATATGCATACTAAGTACTTTTAAGATTGTTGCTGTCTAGAGTAATGTAGCCAAATACTTTTTTATTATTATATTATATCCTGTGCATAGAGCCACGCGTAAAGAAGGCAAACTAGATGGGCGTGCCGGTTAAAAAGTATGGATAAAGAAACTGCTACATAATAGAATACTGTAAGTGCATATATGTATTCTTCATAGAAGTGTGAAAATATTTGTACTGTATTTTTCTGCTGTGCAGTTTTATTTTATGTCTGAAAATATGAAGAAAGACTCTCCTTTTATATCAAGACACATCAGAAAGCGGTTGAAAGAAATGGAAATAACAAAGCTAACAGAAATACAGCAAAAGGCCATTCCTTATGCAATGGAGGGGCGAGACCTGCTTGGGATTGCAAACACTGGCTCTGGAAAGACTCTGTCTTTTCTCATTCCAGCAGCTGAAAAGCTCATTCTGGAAAAAGAAGTCAAGACACCCAAAGTGCTGGTCATATCGCCAACAAGAGAGCTGGCCATGCAGACATCGCGAGTGGCCCAGAGGCTCTTTGCAGATCACCCAGACATTAGAACAGTTCTTTTTGTAGGGGGAACAAAAAAAGCAGATGAAAATGAGCAGCTGAAGAAGGGGTGCGCAATTCTTGTATGCACACCAGGACGGCTTCTAGACCATTTGAAATCTGGCCTGTCTTTGAAAAAAATAGAAATAGCAGTGCTTGATGAGTCCGACCGAATATTGGACATAGGATTTGAGAAGGACATGTGCGAGATTCTGACATATCTGCCCAAAAAGAGGCAGACACTTATGTTCAGTGCTACAAATACAGACAATGTTCTGTGCCGGTCATGGCTGTCAAAGAGGTATAAAAAAGTGCAGGTAAAGATAGACGATAAGATAACTGCAGCAGGGCTCAAGCAATCATTTGTAGTTTGCCCAGAGGACAAGAGATTCTCTCTTCTTTTCTCCTTTTTGAAGAGAACAGACGAGAAAGTGATTGTGTTCTTCTCGACGTGCTCCTCGGTTATGTTCCATGGAGAGCTATTTTCTCTGCTTGGATTCAGTGCGGGTGTGCTTCACAGTGGTGTCAAGCAGGACAGAAGAGCAAGAGTATTTGATGAGTTCTGTGAGGGCAAGATAAAAGTGCTTTTTAGCACAGATGTAGCAGCCCGTGGCCTGGACATTCCAAATGTCAGATGGATTGTTCAGTACGATCCGCCCACTGACCCAAAAGAGTACATTCACAGAGTAGGAAGGACTGCCCGAGCAGGAGCCTTTGGAGAGGCTCTTATGTTTTTGCTTCCACATGAAAAGATCTTCATTAAGTATCTCAAGCATCTTGGAGTAGAAGTAGATGAGCTGACATTCAAAGAGCCGCAGGACATCACAGACTACTACATAAAAACGATTAGCGCAAACTATTATCTAGAAAAAGGCGCCAAGGAGGCCCTCAGAGGGTATCTACAGGCGTATGCAGGGCACAAGTTAAAGAAAGTCTTTGATGCTTCAAAAATAGAGCTGAATAAAATATCTAAATCATTTGGGCTAGCCTCAATGCCTAAAATAGACCTGACCATATGTGCTGGAAAATAAATAGCACATCTAAATAAATGGACTTCACACCTTTACATTGAATTATGTGCGGCAGTTGCAGAGATGTATGCTGCCAAGTAGTTAAACAGTAAGAATTAGAATTCTTGAAGTATTCTTTGCCAGTGTGTAAATATAAAAGCCTAGTAATGCGCATGTTTGCTTTATGGTATTCAAAGAAACAAAAGATTATATATTTAAGTCTTTTACTGTCTATTTATAATAATGCAGTGCAGTCAAAACAACACACAAGCGGACTTTTTAGTCTCTTCTATGCACTCTGCTAGCTATTAGTTGTTTTTCTTTAACTCTTGGATCTTTTTATATAAGTAGTTTATTCGGGGGCCTAGTGGGATTTGCCCTTTTTTTGTACGATGGTTAAACTTTCTTTTCCAATCCTCTTTCTCCCTTTGCTTTTTCTCTCTGATTTTATTTATTTTCTCTATTTCGTTCTGTCTTTCTTCTCTTTTCCGCAAGTTCTCTTTGTGTATGTCTTCAAGAACGGACTGTTTCTTGGTCTTTGAGGACACATTTGGCAGATGCTCAATGTTCTCATCTGCAAATGCCTTTCTCATGTCTTCGTCCCGCCTTCTGTCTGTCATTTCTTCTTCCTTCTGCTTTCTGTACTGTGTCTGTGATTTCCACGCCATGCTATTTTTGCAGAAAGACTTTTCGCTGAAAAATACTTCTGGCTCAGTTTGTGCTCAGCCTTTCTACCCATGTTTTCTCAACAGCAGCCCTGACCTTCTTAATATAGCTAAGCGTATCATTAAGATACAAATCTGATGCCACTGAATTAGCAGGTGAGTTTGTATTTGGGTCATTAAGCAGCGATTGAATGCACAGAAGAACTTGTCCTATTCCATATGCAGAGTTCCATTTGTTTTTGAGAATATCCAAACACAGTTCACCATTTGGATATATATTAGGGTGAAAGATCTCTGATATAAAGGATATTTCTGGGGGATGTTGGGGGTATGACTCTGTAAATGTCATTTTAAGCTCAAACACTCCATCCTCAAAGGGCGTGTCTTCTGGCCCAAATATAATTGCTCTCCAATCCATTATGTTTTCTTTGCTGGGGACTGCCATTATGTTCTCAAGCGGTTCTTCCAGTAGCTTCTTCATATCCCGCATAATTTTCCGTCTGGTTGGTGTAGACATAAAAAATACTTTTTTCGTGCAGTGCTATATATAGATAGAGGCAGAAGAGTGCAGATTAGAGATAAGTGCATTTCCCAGGACATGCACATGGAATGCACAGATTATTGCAGATATGTGGTGCAATAGATAATATCAAGAAAAAGCAGTGCACACTCAGACCATATAAATATTCATATGCACACAGATAAAATAAACAAGTCTAGCATATGTTCTAAGTTAATCTGCTATAAGTATGCTGCTGATCAGTAAGAAAGCTTCTTTATTATAAAGTTTACTAAAATATCTCTAATTTCTTATGTAATGAGGTGTTTTATGTGTATTCTATGACTACTCTTCTTTCCTTCAACACGCAACTCTTCCGCCTTGACAGATATGCATACATCATGTATTTATATTACCTATCATTCATCCTACAGATTACTCTTGCTGCTGTCTATTCTTGCATTTGCTCATCAACTTCTGGTGTTTCAATCTGAGAAATAGGGCTGAATATGCACAGGCCATTTTCAGATGCAGCCATGATTGTATCATCAGCAATAAACTCAAAGTCCTTATAGTATGCCTGTCCCTGGTGAACAAAGCTCAGATACTTGTGGTACTCCCATCCCTCAGTCTCTTCATAAGACATGTCCCACATGACTATCTCACAGCTAGATGCAGAAGCAAAGACGTCCTTGCTGCTGAACTGGATGTGGCTGATTGGGGACTGGTGGAACTTAATCTCTTCAAGTGGGGTTTCCTGTCTGATGTCAATAACCCGAAGCATCCCTTTGTCATCCCCAGCAACAATCATATTTTCGCCATTGTATGCAATGGAGTTGATGTCGCAGTCATTCAATAGATACTGCTTTGCATCTTTGCACCGGAAGTCTACTAGGTTAATAGCATGCGTACCTGCAAATGCTTCATTCTCTGATATACTGGCAATAGAGAATATTTCATTTTGATTGATATTAAAAGACTCAACATGGTTCCCCTCCACATCCTTTTGTTGGACAATGGCTGCTCCATCACCATAGAACAGAGATGATTTGTATATGGAGAGACCATAACCACCAGATATATTCTTAGTGTATATAGGAGTGAGGCTTGATGTGTATATGTCAATAGACCTATCAGAGATCGTGTATATCTTTCCATTTCTTGCCCTGATTCGGTTTGCCTGGTGTGCAGTTTCAACTTTCTTTACTGGCCTGACAGACCTTTTGTTGTCTCCTGCCAAAACCACCTCCAAGTCAAGAAGGGATGGGGCTGCTCCTGGTATAGCCTGCTCCACTAGAATTCTGCCTTCCTCTTCCTTTAAGCAGACAGACAGAGAAGGCCAGTCCAACTGAATTTGCTCATGTATTCTGTATACATTTTCCATCTGCAGATCCATTTCCTCTGGCTTCCCCATGGCTTCGTATTCCTCGTGGGAAGACTCTTCTGTAGAGAACTCATCATTCTCAAGTGGAATCAAACTCTCCCCTTCATTATTATTTTCTTTTCTTTCTCTTCTTTTCTGTTTCTTTGCCATGATAAATTTTTTGCACTGGTCTACGCATACATATCTGGCTGTTATCAAGCAGAAAAAATAGATAGTCATATGAGGCAGCAAATAAATCTACATCTAGAATGTATGCAGCAGCTAAAATAATAAAATCAGCATAGTAAATTGGCATGCCACACTGGTGAAATTTCCCAGGCCTGGAAATAGTAGCCCAATACGGATAGCATCTGAGTTGAAGAGTCTTTTTACTGCATGCAGATAGGCTTGGTTACTGCACAAGCTCTGAGGCAGTCTTAAAGTTCTGGTTGTGGTTTGGTGTCTTTCTTTGTTCAGTCTTATTGTTCTTCTTCTGTAAAAGAGAATCTGTGTTTATTCTTGAGTCCTGTCATATGACTGAGATAATCTCTCTCGCAAAATACTTTTACTGTGGAGTTCCTTGCAATGGTAAGAAATTTCTCGAGAAATCGCAACTTTACTACAAAAACCTTTATAAGAAATATTAAGTATAAGACAGACAATACTTAAGGATAGCAGCAAATTTAACACGGGTATAGACTAACTATTAGATACGCTTTATTTCATCTGCCAATCATGAAAAGATAAAAAAGTCTTATGCATGAAGCAGCTTTTCTTTCGCATACTTTACCAAAATATCTAGCTCATTTTTATGGCGATTTGATTTAACATTGTCAGAGAAGAATCTTTGCAGTTTTTCAATATATTCTAGATTTCTCTCTATTAAGGATATCTGTTCAGGTGAAAGCATACGCATCCTTTTCTTTCGGCATAGAACAAGAATTTCTTCCATTCTCCATCCATTTATGCAGCTTATACTAACGGGATCTATCTCTCTTTCTGGCTTATCTAGTTTGAGCTTGTTTTTGATTGATGAAATCGCAAACTTAAAGCTCTCTCCCACTTCAAACACCTCCCAGTCTATTTCGTCTGGGCTTTCTATCTCATGGTGCACTGGGTTAAAAATGAATATTTTGTCAAGCATAGAGGGGTCTGCCCGGTCAAGCAGAATAATGAGCCACTGCAGAACCAAAGGCAACTCATTTGTCTGCTTCAGGCTTGGCTTTATTAATTCCTCCATGGGCGCCTTCTCTCTTTCTCCAATAGCCTCTGCAAGCCTTTCTGCTCCTCCAATACATACTGAGTTATTATTTGAAGTAGGCTGCAGGCCTGATATTACAAGCGAGGTGGCTCTATATAGAGAAAAAAGCACGGGCTCAATTGCTTCACAAATGGTTGGGGCGCAAATAACATCAAGTCTGCCCATAACCAGCCCAGTAATGTACTCCAAAGAAATAATTCCCCTAAAAAACAGAGAAAAGAAGCAGTCTGGGATCCTCTTACCAAAGACCAGCTCGAGATTTGGGGAGAATCCGCATTCAGTGAGAAGCACTAGCTCACCGTTTTCATTCATAACAGGTTGGTGATTAATAACATATTGGGCTTTAAAATATGTGTTGGCAAATACAGTGAACTTATCTACCCTTCCATCCTGCGAAGCGGTTTCTACTTTTCTCTGAAGCTCTTTGGAGACATGCTTGTTCCTGTAGGTCTCAATAATGAAGAAAGGATCAAAGACTAGGCTGTGTGCTGGAATAGTTGGGCAGTATTCGCTCCCAAGCATAAGGAATATTTCACGCATGCTGTTTAGTGTGAGATTGAGTGACTTGCAGATCTCAGAGACAGTGCATGATGCTACAGTCATGGCCTTCCTATCGCCGGATGTAATGAATTCAAAATCAAGAATCAGGTCCTCAGCTCCTGGGAACAGCAAATAGTCTGTTGCGCCAAAGAACATCGAGATGTATAGCTTTTTCTCCATGTATGCTCCCTGGGCTGTGGCAAAGTATGGGGCATTGACCACCTCCACCTTATAGCGGGCCAGAACTGCATTAATTGAAGCCTTCTGCTCTTCGTAATCAAAAGCAACAGCCCACGCTTTGGACGCAAGGTCTATCTCCCCATTGCTGTAGTGCTCGCAGCCACTCACAACAAGCTCTTTTCTTCTTTTTTCTGGCACTTTTCGCAATTCAAGTGTGGGGGATATTCCATTCCATATCCAGACTACTCGGCACCCTACTTTCTCCATGCACTCTAGTAAGCTCTCCACGTGAGATAGGATTTCCTTCCCAAACCCATCCATTAGGATATTTTTGCCCTGCAGGAACAGACTATACTTTCGCACGAACCAGGCCCCGTCAATTCCAATTGTATTTTCTTTAAGCGTATCCAGATCGAACTTCTTAATTAGGTGTCGTTTTGCAAGCTCTTTCTCAAGTTGTCGAATTGGCATAATTTAAAATTAATGAATTTGATTACTAGTAATTATATGGGAGAGCGAGAGACATCAAAGAAGATAATTGTAGTGGGAGACGGTGGCTGCGGGAAGACGTGTCTTCTTATTAAATACACAGAGGACAGGTTTGAGAAAGACCACAATGTAACTGTCTTTGAGAATAAGGAGGTTCCCTACTTGGACAGAGCGACAGGAACAACCTACATGCTCAACATATGGGACACTGCAGGACAGGATGACTTTGACAGAATTCGGAAGCTATGCTATATTGACACACAGCTTGTGCTTATATGCTTTGCACTGAACAAGCCCGAGTCATTTAAGAACATAGAGGGAAGGTGGAAGGAGGAGGTTGACCACTTCTGCAAGGATGTGCCTAGGATACTTGTGGGAATGAAGGCAGACCTGCGAAAGACAACAAGCGAAGACCTAATATCAGAAAGCATGGCGCGCCAGCTGGCAAGCAGCGTGTCAGCGAAGTGCTATGTGGAGTGCTCATCTGTAACAGGAGAAAATGTTGACACTGTCTTCGACGAGGCAATGAATGTTCTGCTGAACAGAACAAAAAAAAAGAAAGACCGAGGCCCATCGTGCAAGACGCTCTAGCCAAAATATTATTAAGAAGAAGTACTGGCGTAGTATAATAAAGGGTTTAGGAGACAAGAAATTAGACATGTCTTGACTGCATACATAAGATTTTTGGTGTGCTGCACTGCAGGCTGATTTAATTATATATAAGCCAATTTATAGAATAGAAGGCTACTGTGGAGTGCTAATTTGTACACTTTTTGGTCTCCTGGGGTGCATTTATTTTCTGCAAATCTGAAACCCGAATATAGTAAGCAAAGAGTCATTTAGATGATGGGACAGAATCTATCTATACTATGGATGTACTGTGTATACTGAAGAGATGCAAAGAATTCATTTTTCTAGAGGAAATATAACATGGATGGGAATATGGGTATTTCGCATTTAAATAACTTATTTTATACTGAATATTGTTGTAGCGCAGAAGAAACAAATAGAATAGGAAGTCTATGCTATTCTCAAATATCCTTGCACAGCCAGGTACTTTCTATAAATTAAATAGTATATCAAAAAGATGGGTAGTTCCAATCTATTCGGAATAAGATTTCCTTCCAAAGAAAGATAGACCAAGGCTATAATAATTCAAAGAAGAAACTCCTTCAGGCAATAGTTGCTTCTTATTGCCTTGAATGCGCATGTACTAAAACCAGCAGGAATTTAAAGGTAAATCATATGGGTATTCAGGATATATTCAGGATATATTTAGGATATGATCACTTTCATACATAATAAGGGCTTAGTACATACTAAAACTTTAAGAGAAGAACGCTAAGAAAAAAAGTCATTATTAAAGAAATATTAGAGAGAAATAGTAGTGATGACAAGCAGCAATTTAATTATAAAATTGCAGAATTGCAGAATTGCAGAAAAGAGGTTATTTAGTAGCATATGAATATAAATAAGATATAATTATCTCTACACGGTATGGGTAACATTCTGTTATCTTTTTATTCTAGTAAAACAGAAGCAGATGCCCTGCTGCATACGGATCTTCTTCTAAAACATTAGCTTCTGTAGCCTGGGATAAGTTGTTTGTAAGGGCGCCTTTGTAGAGGCCAGGCTATTAATTCTTTTAGTTTGATGTTTAGTTATGGAGGAGAGTAGCTGGGGCTGTTCTTGTGAATTAAATACTTTAACAATTTTTATTCTTAATTGCAAATGAACACAAGCACCGCAGACATCGCAGTTCTCATAGACGAGGAAAAATATGAAGAAATATTAGCACACCCAAAGGCTACAGAAGAGCAGAAGGCAGTGGCACTCATCAAATTAGACAGGTACAAAGAGGCAATTGATCTATGCCATAATAACACCTTTGAGAAGGGGTACTGCTACTACAAGCTAGAAAAGTACAAGTCAGCTTTGCATACCGCAGGAAATAAGAAGGGAGCAGACTGGACCATGCTTAGATCACAAATATTATACAAGCTTGACAGGCACATGGAGGCACTTGCAGAAATAAAGAAGTTGAAGCTGAAGGGAGCAATTCTAGTGAACTATGCAGGAAATGTGGCAATGGCATGTGCGGAAAATAAGTTGAAGAGCGATGGCCCTGAAGTAAGGGAGATTCTGGAGATGATAAAGAATGAAAGTGTAAACATCCAGGGAGAAGTGCTGTACAATCTTTCTTTTGCATACCTGCCAGACAGAAAGAAAACCCTTCAGAAGCTAAAGGAAATAGACACGCCTGATAGAACACACAGACAGCTGGTTGCCTCGCAAATACATAATATAGAGGGAAATCACCAAGAAATATCGCCAAGTGTTCTAACAAAGAGTAACAGGGCCATACACAAATACAACACAGAGGGGGTTGCTTTGCCCAATCTGCAGGGAAGCATGAAACAGTTCCAGAAAGACAGCTACTACCAGAACAAGATAAGAAGATATAGGCAGACAAAAAACGTACCTGAAATATGCAATATAATAAACGACTTAGAGCACAAGAATACAAAGCCAATGATCAAGTTCATTAGCAAAATAAGCCGGAAGAATGCGCTGCGCTTGGAGAAAGTGCTGAAGGACGACAATCTCCTTAATAAAAGCCTGAGAAGAATCATCAGCAATAAGTAAATACAAGGAGCGCAGTTAAGAAGGGTCTGCAGACCTTTATAGACTTATTTAAAATAGCTTGCACGATGCACTTATGCATGTGATTGTGGGTTTTATTTGTGCCATTTATACGGCATGAATGGGCTAAGACTACTTCTATAGCAACCCGTGTGCAGGAGTTCTGCAAATCTTCTTATTTAGCCTTCAATGGACAGAGTAATAAACAGCCAATATACTTATTTTTCATTCACTTGCAAGGCCAAAGTTAAGAAAGTCTGCAAACAGAAGTTCTTTCTATTTTTGTTGCCACCTGCTTTCTCTTTATAATTATTACTTTAGTTAACGATAGGCAATGAATTTGTAGAGGTAATTTGGGTTATAGTGCCTAGTGCTTTAGAACTTGCAGTAAAAAAACAAAAAGCATGTACTCCCATGGAGTGAATCTAAGTAGAATTATTTCTGCAAGGCTTCTATATAGCCCGAATGCATATTCTAATTTGTTGCATTATTATTTGGACTATTTGTATCTTGATATTCGGGTTATTTCATGTGGATGTTTTGTGGTGACGTGTCATATATGGATGGATCTGTGTTTATATCACCTTGTTATTTACTATTATTTGGGCTAATTAGTGCATTTCGTGCTATTAATTACTTTGTGTTTTTAATTTTTTATATGTTGAGTGGAGTCTTTCTTATTTCTGTCTCTTCTGCTCTGGTTTGGATTGGTACCATGAACACCTCGCACCTGCAGATTAAGAAGGAGAGTATGTCAATGGAAGATGCAAAGGCATTTCCAATTATTGGATCTGTAGTGCTTTTAAGTATCTTTTTTGCATTTAGGTATCTCTCAAAAACCATCATTAACACGATGCTAAGAGCACTTTTCTCAGCAACAGGAACATTCTCTGTGTACAAGCTATTGAAGGTCGTATATCAGCGCTTCATTCCTATTGAGAAAGTGAAAGAGCTTGCAAAGAAAAAGATAGAGAAAGATACTCCTTCTGAGAAAAAGAAGACAGATTCTGCAGAAGAGAAGATAGAAGAGGATCTAGAAAAAAATGAAAAGCCAAAAAGCACAGAAGCAAGCCAATCTGAAGAAGGCAGCAAAGTAGCAGAGCCAGCTCAAGGTGTAGTGGTAGAAAACATCAGGGCGTTTAAAAAAGAGGTGATAGAGACCCTTCAAGAAGTGAAAGAAAACATAAAGGTGTACATTGAGGAGTTCAAGAACATTCACTATCTTGCATTGTTTGCTATTTCTTTTTTAATTAACGTGTGGTACTTCAAGACAAAGAGCATGCACTCTTCAAATATTTTGGCGTGTGCCTTCTCTGTAATGGCCATCCAGGAGATAAAGCCAGATTCAACAAAAACTGTCCTTGTACTTCTGGGACTTCTTTTCTTCTATGACATATTCTGGGTGTTCTTCACACCGGTTATGATCGGAGTAGCAAAGGACTTGGAAATTCCAATAAAGATAGTCTATCCCTTTGCAAGAAAGGGCGCAAGCATGATTGGTCTAGGAGACATTGTGATTCCAGGAATATTCCTCTCTCTTTCCAGAGAGTTTGCACAGAAGTTCAGCTCACCTCTTATCTTTACACTTGGATATGCAGGGTATGTGCTAGCCTTAATGATTACTTTTGCGATTGTGTTTATTTTCAAAGCTGGGCAGCCTGCTTTGTTGTACATTTGCCCGCTAATTGTAGCAGGAAGCCTGGCCGGTGCAGCAGTTCACAAAAGAACTAAGCAGTTTATTGCCTATACATCTGAATAATACTATTTGTTGAAAAATAAAGTACAGAATCTATTTTCATTCACTGCCTGCATGCTTTTTGTCTGATTATTCTTCTCTTTCTAAATATATTTTCTCTTGAAAATTATAAAAATCCTTCTAGCCTAGTATGCGTAGTTTGTTAAATTATGCAAATATATCTTAATATTTTTATTGTCTGCTGTGTGCCTGTCCATTCTTTTTGTGAAATATCCTTTTCTTACTAGCATATAGAGCGCATATAAACACCCACTTCTGCCTGCACTGTGTTTAGTAATTTGGATATAGTAAATGCCTTCAATAAGAGGCAGAGTGCTTTAGCTTAGAGTATTTTGGATATTTAAGGAAACTGTGCAAACAATAAAATGCATGAGAAGGCATTTTAACCATCTATCATGTGTGCTCTTCATGCGATATAATCTATGTTTGGAGTTGGAGCTGGATCAAGCATTTTATTTCCATGACTTACTCAAAGGACTCTACAATGTACTCAAGTGCAGGATCTGTGAAGTGGTAGTCATGAATGTCTAGGCCTATCTCTACGCTTTCTCGAATAATTCGGTTGGGGATGTCCTTTAATGCAAGGAGTGCATCCTCTGCCTCTTTTGTATTGATTGTTCCCAGGGCCTCTGCACACTCGTGTCTGACCATTTCATGCCGGTTCTCATCTGCAAGAACACGTGCCAAGTGTTTGGCAGATGCAGGGTGTGACATCTGCCCAAAGACAAAGGCTACTTCGTGCTCAAATAGGTCAGAGCGGTTTTTGTTGTTAAATCCTTCTGCAAGTATCTCAACAGCCTCTTCTGTTCCAATGTCTCTCAAAGCAAACATGGCTGCGTATCTCTCGTAAAGAGACTTGCTTTCGTCTAGATACGTCTGTCTGAGTTTTTCAATTGAAGCGCTTTCTGCAGAGACAGCTGGGTCAAGAGACCCAAACTCTGACCGCTTTGATCCTCCGTTTCTTATCAGCTCAGCTCCTATCTCACATGTTTCAGAGACTGCCTTGCTCTTGGAGACTGAAAGATCTGCATACTCTCTAAGAAGTGGCTCGTATGCCATGTCTCCAAAGGTGGCAATTGCCTCAGCTGCCTCGTGCCGCACAATCTCATCCTCACTGCCGTCTCGGAGAATGCGCTCCAGAATCGGAAGAGCTGTTCTGTTTTGCATCTGTCCCAGAACGTACGCCAGCTCGTGCTTCAGAAGAACAGAGGTTGTGGTGAAGGCTGCTGCAATTCCATGCACAGACTCATCTGTGCAGATGCTTCTAAGTGCAAAAAGAGCTCTGAATCTTAGCTTCAGTGGCTCTGTCTCTCTTTGCAAAATATCTGAAAAGTTCTTAACTGCATTCTCTGTGGTTGTACTCATAATTTGCAAAAAAATAATTAGTGAAAATAGTTTATTCTTCTATCTCAGCAGACTCCTGTATCTGGCCAGAGGCATCGGCAGACTTAGTTTTTGGAAGGAAAATAACAGAAGGCAGCCCAGCCAAAGAGGACTTTCTCTGCTGCGACGGCGTGAACCTTTCAAAGTTCTTTACAATGTGAGACTTCTCTTCTATTACATCTGCCTCAGAGACTTCTTCATCAGATGCCTCCTCTTCATCCTCTCCAGTTGCAAGTGGAAGTATTTTGAACTTTTTCCCTTGCTTCTTGCTCTCTGCCACAGACACGTCTGTGATCAAGTGCTCCTTCTGTGGGCCATCCACCTCAACAGAGAATCCTTCCACCAGGTTCAAGTCTGTGTCAACTGCAAGAAGAACAGTTGGCCGCATGCACAGCGCAATGAAGGGCACCAAGGGGTACCAGTGCCAAAACTGCGAGAACAAAATGGCACCGCACACGCTCTTCACAGAAAGATCACCGGACATGCCGAATATGCTCATGAATCCATTCTTTCCGCATGCATCAAGGAAGGAGCGGCCTAGAAGCGCACCAAACCGGGCTGCTCCGCTTTCACTCTTTCTCTTTGTCATGCTGTGCATGTGCTCGACAATTCGCCGGTAGAAAGGATCGTCCCGTGCATTTACCTGCATAAGAACCATTCCTGCACCAATGCTTGCATTCTGCCTGACATAAGAAGTGCTGTCGTACATAAGCTCCTCAAGAAGGGTGAGCGCCTGTTTGTCTCCGGACCCTGCAAGGAACATTCCTAGCGTGAGGGAGACCCCAGAACGAACGTACGGCGAGTGGCTCTGTGCAAGGGGCTCAAGCACCTTAAAAAGAACTGAGTTCCCTCCCATAAGACTATCTTTATCCTTGCATGTTTCGGGTTTTGTTGTAAGAATCAGCCCAATGCTGAACACTGCTGCTCTTTTAACGTCCTCTGATGAGTCTGTGCTGATTATGAACAGAAGCTTTTCAACCACAGATAGACTTCCTCCGCCTACATACATTGCTCCAAGAGAAAGGACTCCTGTATATCTAAGAATTGGGTTTGAGTCTGCAAGCAGCTCGTCTAGCATCTCCTGGATCTCTGAAGAGGAACCTGCACTCGATGCATTTGCAGCAATCAGCTGCAGTGCAATACTCACACCCACAGCTCTTGAGATCTTCTCGTGCTCAGTGTCTCTTGCGTATGTCAGAAGCTCTTTTGCCAGCTCGCTACTGAATATCCCTGCGCTAACCAGCCCAATTGCGTATGCAGCTGCCTCAGATGTAGTCACCGTGTCGGAATAGAGAACATTCTTAAACCTTGCAATGGAGTCTTCGTCTGCTGTACCAAGCCGGGTAAGGCCAAGGCCCAGGCAGACTCCGTGCAAAATGTGGCCTCGTCTGCTTTCCATCTCTGTATCTAGGAAGTTGCTCAAAAAGCTATCTGCAACCACTGGGGAGTTAACGGAAATCAGACCAAGTGCAAACAAAGCCCCTCCGCTTTCTGGGCTGTCCTTCTCTGAGTTCTTGATTGATGCCATTGGAAGATAGTGCCTTAGCATTTCAAACGGATCTTCGCTGTCTGTGTGCACCATTCCAAAGGAGGATGCCACCACAAACTTGGACCAGTTCTTTGCCTGCCGCATCCACTCCAGATTCTTCCGCAGATACGTGTCATTTGCTGTTTTGCAGTTCATCAGGCCATTGCAGAAGCTGAGAGACATGTGGTTCATGGAAAGCTTGGAGCTCTGCGACTTTGACAGTTCAGCAAGTAGAGCGAAGTTTGCCTGGTTCTTCTCAGAGAGGAACTTTTGGTACGTAGACGACTGGAACTGCCCTGTTAGCAGCTTGTGCATAGAGGCGTGCTTAATGTCCTCCCCAATTGACTGCGAGATGACTGGGGCTCTGTCGTGGATTAAAAAGGCCATGTACAGGGCAACCTCTGTCTTCACATCTGCTAGGTACTTAAGAAGATCCTTCAGAGCCTTCTCGTCTTTTCTAAATAGGTACGCATCAAGAAGATACTTGTAGAAGAAAAGAGAGTAGTCTCCACTGCTCGCTTCACTCCATATGCCTTCCATCAGTGGGAACAGCTTTGAATATATTCTTTCCTGTTTCATCTCCTCAAGCAAGAACTTCATCTGCGTGTCATTGCACAGAATGTGCATATTGTTTCTTATAAATGCCTCAATTGACTCTATGTTCTTTGTTGTTATATGCAAAGCCAGCAGAGAAAATGCATCCTTCCCATCCTCTGTCTTCTGCTGGAGAAGACAGGACATAAACTCTTTCATTTCCGCACTGTGCGCCCCTTGTGTTTTAATGTATTTTCTAATTACTCGGTTTCTTGACTCTTGGAAGTACAGGCTGAGAGTTTCGCACTGGTTCCCAGCAGCCCGGAACCACTCGTTCTTTGAAAGAACAGCGTGTCTCACACACTTGTCGTACTCCTGTGTGTAGAAATATATCATAGACGAGATGAGGTGGAAGAGCTCCTTGTCCTCTTCGCAGTCCTCAGGCTTGATATGCTGTAAAACATTCTTTAGCAAGAACCCAATTAGCCCTACATTCTTGATTATCAGATCAACTGCTTGTTTCTTCTTGTCCTTGCAGTTTTGCAATAACAATGCCTCTATGGTTGGCACAAGCGCAATTGCTTCCATACTTTAAAAAAACAAAACAAATTTAACTATCATCTGCACACAAAGAAAGATAAAAAGACAATTCTGGACCACCCAGTCTACACTTCACTACTGCTAATAGGACAAACACATCATGTCACATCACTTTGGTAGTATTCCATGCGGTGCATGTTTCAGTTTAATTCCAGCTCAGGCCAGCAAGAGAAAGACTGGGCCTAAATTAAACATATAAATATTACAAACATGCTCTAGTTTATCATGTATAGCTACTAGTCGGGTGCATACCCTGGACTCAGATAGATTTATCTGGATTTTTATCCAGTGCTGAACAATACTCGGTGTGTATTCACATGTGTAAAGAATAAAATATTACTGCCAGATGGTGGTAGTTTATAATAGAGTGGAGTCTATCTAAAAGAGCTTTTTATTCTATTTCTTATAGTTTGGGTTATACTTGAGGCACTATTCATCTTGTTTATTTTTGAGATGGACCTGTTTTTGTCTATCTCCAGATAGCTGTAGCAGTATGTTGATCTTTAAATCTATAAATCTCCAGAAAACTATCTATATATTGAAGTACCCTGGTTCTTGCATAGAGATATAAGCTTATTCTATTTCTGGTATTTCTGGCTATATAGAACTGGTTGTAGCAGTAATTTAATATAGCCTGGCGCATAGTAGGGAAATTAATTAGCTAGTTTATTTATTTTGATTAAATCCCAAAATTAAACCAAAACATTTAAGAGCTTGAATTTAAATTAACAATAGAGTTTAATACTCTGCTCTTTTAAGAAAGTTCACACTTGTACGCATAAATACTCACTAAGCCATCTCCAGCTTGAAAGTGCACTCTGAAAAATAAATTGAAAATTAAACAAGTGCATCCGAAGGTATCGCACTATAGTGTGAAAACAGCAGTGCAATCTAATATATACTACTATTCCTGCATTAAGATCAATTGTAGCATATTGTATTATTTCAATAGTATTTTCATATGCTGTCCTGTTTGAACTATTTTCTTTAATTCTTACTGCTGCATATTTTACTGTAATTCACATATTATTTAACTGGGCTTAATATTAATTCTATACTTACATAATTAGCACTAGGTACTGAAATAATTTGCGAATATAAAATAACTTAATACACAGAGTACGACTACATGGCATCTGCACAATTATATTTAAGTCCTTCTATCCTTATTATGCTTAGAATCACAGACGAAACTGCGTGATATAACCCGAATATAATCCTTTGGTAAAACCACTTCTTGAAGCACTTTAATATTTTTCTTCCTGCATAATAAATGAATCTAGTGGAAATAGTTGGGAACCGAATTAAGAAGCACGTACTTGCTCTGGGCCATTCTGAGCGAAGCTGGCGGGTTCTGATTATCGACCAGTCCACTGCAAAGCTTCTTCATCACACGCTTCCAATGAGCGAGGTGCTGTCTAGAAATATTGCAATGGTTGAGAGAATAGAGGACATGAGAGAGCCCTCCACTGAGTTTAGTGCAATATACTTCATAAGTGCAACTTCCCAAAATGCAAAAAGAATTGAAAAAGATGTCTCGCAAAAGATGTACAAGAGTGTATTTGTTGTCTCTATTTCTGATATTGAGGAGAAGGAGGAGCGCATATTTGAGAGTGTGAAAAAGAAAGTAGAGAAGCAAAGGGAAAAGACAAAGGGAAAGGAAAAAGAGAAAGAAGCATTTGAGTTTATCTATAAATGCGTTATTTTTGATTTCATTCCCTTGGCATCAGATGTATTTCATATGGAAACACCGTACTCGTACTATACACATAAGGAGGAATACTTGGACGACATTGCAGATAAAATAAAAGGCGTATATAGAACCATGCAGGCACGGTGCACCCCAATTCCTGTGGGGAAATATGCAAAAGAGCTATCTGACAGGATAGACTCATCTGGATCTAGCAAGCTAGTTATTATGGAAAGAGGGTCTGATGTAAATACCCCCTTCTTACATACGTTCTTATTTGAAAGCCTCTTGTGGGATCTGGAACTGGCTGGCCCTGGGTATGTGGTTGAAAGTGGACACCTTGATAGAAGACCTGCAAAAAAAGACACCGATCCAAATAAAGACAGCGAAAGTGAAAGTGAAAGTGATGATGAAAAGAGGCTTGAAATAACCGAAGACCACAAGGTGTGGATGAGTGTGCGCAGCAAACAGCTAGTGGAAACACATAAAATACTCACTGAACTGATCAAGGAAGAGACAAAGACAGAAGAAAAAGAGCAAAAGTCAAATATCAAGCAACTTGTCAAAGCAGTGCAGGAACTTCCTGCGCACACAAGAACTCTAAAAGAGATAAAGATATTTATGAGTCTTCTGGAGAAGTGCGTTGAATTCTTTAATTCTCCTGGAATAAAGGAGACTGCAGAGCTAGAACAGGGTATTTCCACGGGAAAGAACTTCAGTGGGCACAGCTTCAAGCACGAAGTAACCAAGGCCCTCTTTTCAGTTCTTAAAACTGCCAGACTTACACAGGCAGAGAAGCACAGGCTGTACATTCTTTATGTGCTTAACTACGGCAGCCTGCAGCGCAACGAAGAGGAACGCCTAATAGACAGAGGGTATTTATCTCAGAAGGAAATAGAAGTCGGGGAGAAGATCAAAAAGCATCTGGCAGGGAGGAAGATAAAGCCTGTTTCAAAGAGAACCCTTCCAATTGCCCGACATGTTCCTTTAATTGCTGATGTTCTCACTGCAATTATTAAAAAGGACGAGCATGCCTGCCGCAAGATGGAAATAGATCTGCCAGGCAGAGAGGAGGCCATTTCTGGTGCTTCTTTACGGAAGAGAGAGTTTGTGTTTAGGCAAAGCGTATCCCAGAGCACATCCCACAGAAGAATTATGATTGTATATTTTATTGGCGGCGCATCGATTGCTGAAATATCCGAAGTCCGTGAAATAGCGCAGAACACAGGGCAGACCATCATTGTTGGCTCCACAGACATATGCTCTCCGAATGGAATGGTGCTAGCTCTGAACAATCTGTAGGCACTTCTGCTGTAGTGAAGACCCTATGACCAGTCATCATTGTGCTGTGATATTTCAGGGTGCTCTGCTGTAAAGTACTGTGATATTGACTGCATAGCCTGCTTGTTTCCACATGTATATATCCCGCTTGTGCTTATTTCTCTGCACCTGGCTGCTATCTTCTCTTTGTTTCGCTGTAGAAATTCGCCCATTCGAATGGACTGGTTTGTTTGTGAGTAAACCACATGCACTGTGACATTCGGGCTTTCTGTTGTAAATAGTTTGGCCCCTGCGTACTCAGACTCCAGGCCTGCTTCCCATGCTATTCCGGTTTTGGCTAGAATATTCTCGTCTTCTGTCTTGCATCCGTAGAAAAGAGTAAAGACGCAGTCTTTCTTACAGTTTCTAATAAATGAAATAAATGGGGAAACTCCTGTTCCTATACCAAATAATAAAGCATTCTTAGTACTACTGCGCAGCTGAAACAGAATATTTTCTTTGTGCCTTATTCTGTATATCATGCCAGAGGCTTCTGCACTTTCTGAAGAGACTGGCGTGTTTTCTGTCTGAGCCACCCTCATTATATAGTCGGAGAAGTGCCCTTCTCTGCAGTCACTTTCCCCATTGCGCAGAATGCCTGCTATAAATTCGCACTCGTTGCTTTCTTGGTTGATAAGAGAAAATGCCCGTGGCTTAATTTCTTTTGCAACTTCCAATAGACTCTCTAGAGGAATCTTCACACTAAACTGCACTAGAATATCTAATAGACTATTCCAGTTCTTCCCCATGGCAAAGTAGTCAGCACTGCCTTCTTTAGAAGACAGGTACGCCAACTTATCGCTGTCTTTCTCTGCATATTGGGAAAGTCTGAATAGAGACAGCTTTGAGGGAAGTGACGTAACATCAAGGAAGTATCTGAAGTACTCAGAAATACGCCCTGCAAAGGAAAATACGTGTGCCCTTCCACGAATGCGCACACGAGTAAACTCTATTACTCTGTCTTTCTGTATACTCAATAGCTCCATAAGCTTTTGTACTACTGTCTCTGAGTTTGGAGCCCACATAAGAAGCGAATCACCTGGCGTGTACTTTATTGACGTATTCTGCAGCACACCCTTAAAAACATCCTGTCTTCCCCGGTATACCTCTGCAATTTCTAGCTTATATGCCTCTAGTCTTTGCATATCTCTGGGTGTGCCCTCGCCTGCACTGGAATCAGTGTGCATGTCGCGGTACATCACTACTCCCTCTGCTTTTTCTTCCAGCTCTTTAAAGGAAACTTCGTGCATTTGGCTTAGCGAAATGGTCTTTCTGTTTTCTGTGTAGCCCGCCAGTGAAATTGGTCTGGTTGTATAGCCATTCATTAAATTTTTGCGCTCCTTCATTTCAAATAACTATTTTTATTTGTTCTGCGAATGTTTCAATTATACAGAGAAAGTAATATTGGAAAGGCTTTTCAAGACATGATTGAGGAGAAGATTAATTCTCAGATAATTACACCGCAGCAAGGAAGTGCTTTGCTGGAGATGTTTGATATGGCTGTAGAACAGGTTTTCAATACAAGTGTGCATAATAAAATGAATTTTAAGGCTTCCATAATAAGTTATAAGAACTTTGCAGATGTGTGGACATTCGTTGTCAAGGGGTTTGTTATGACAATTGATGATAAGATCGTGCGCGCAGATAGAGTAAAAATTGTAGCATGCGATGCAAACATAAATAGCGAGAGAACCACTCGTGGGAAGACCCCTGACAAGAAGAAAACATTCTAAGTTAAATAAATAGCATATACAGTGTATTGTGTCTGTCTGCTGCCTGGGTGCAAGGTTCTGAGAGAGTTTTCTCTCTCTGGTGTTTATATATTTTAATAAGCTGCATGCATTATTAAAATGCAAATTTCAGAATGAAAATAACTCTTATGCATGCTTCTTATACTTTGGGCTATGAAAGCCTCTGTGGCTGTATTCTAAGCTAAAAGCAAATATATTGTCACTACTGCAGGGCATAAATATATAACCCGATATAACCCGAATTCTAATAAGAGGCTTGTTGTTTTACAAAATTTATTCATTGGTTTTGATAGCTATCGAAATACAGACTTGTTATTTTTTCAATTATTTTTTCGTGTCCTTCTTCAGTGGTTGCAGTGTGCCTAAGATCCATTATTTTTGATATAAACTCCTTTAGCTCCTGCTTGCTGAAAGTACATACTTTCTGTGCTGGCACAGTCTCTTTTGATGTCAGACTGCAAAGACCGCTTCTTAGCAGCATATCAATCTTGGCTCTTTCCTTGGGCTCTCTCACCAGACACTTCTTTATTTCCGCTGCCACGCATTGGTAATTATTGTCGTCACTCTCCTCCTCTGGCAGCTCTACCGTATACTCTGGGTCTAAAAGCTTCTGCATTCTTTGCACAAGATTCTTAAACCGCATAAAGGGAGACTCTCCAAAGTACATTTCATAGAGAATGCATCCAAGAGACCATATGTCGCTGTTTCTTCCCATCTTTGTCTTCCCTTCTATTATCGCCTCTGGCGACATATAGTTTATTGTTCCTATCTGTTTCTCCCGGATTATATTTGTTGTGTCGTTTCGTATCTCCTTTGATATCCCAAAGTCAATTAGCTTTAACCTTCCACTCACAAATAGAAAGTTTCCTGGTTTTAGGTCCCTGTGCACTATGCGATGCTCATGGATGCACTTTACTGCCCTCAGCATCTGCTCCCATATACTGATCATTGTGTAGTTCTCGTTGCTTTTTCTGTACCCCCCAGGAAATCTTTCCTTTTCTATTTCCAGGAACCGGCACAGGTCAATATCTCCGTACTCCATTAGAATTGCTATTCTGTCCCTATTTATGTAGCTGTCCTTGAGTGTTACTATTTCATGCCGACTCTTTAGCCTTTTTAGAAGAGAGATTTCATTCGCATAGCTTTTGTACACCTCGCTGTCTTCTGAGTTCTGCAGTATTCGTATCTTTTTCAGTGCAAACACTTCATTCTTATCTGAAAGCACCTGGTATACCTTTGCACTTCCTCCTTTTCCAATTGTACGCAGTATACGGAGCTTTTTTCCGTTCAGCGTGATTTTTTTTGAAGCTGGTGCGTTCAAGTACTTTTCAGAGCACACTGAATTTCCTGCATTTCTGCTGTTCTCCAGAATCTCTGTTTCTTGTCCTTCCATAGTGCGCGTTCCAATCTTGAAATCAAACACATCTCCAGCTTCTGTGATTGTGCCATTCTTTCTGTTCTCTCTATTGCTCTCTGCCTCTCTGCCATCTCTGTACTCACCCTCATACCCCTGCTGCTCCTTTCGGCTCTCCTGCCAGCTGGAGAGGCTTGTTTTCCCCATGCTTTCGCTTCTGGGCACAAACACTGCCTCGTTCTCTCCACTTCCTGTAAAATAGCCTGGCGCTGCGCACACTGCACTTCTTCCTAGCTCTATCTCCAAATTCATACTCATGTTTGGTGCTCCTTCAAGCAAATATGCCTGGGGTTTCTCGTCTCTGCCATCCAGCATATTACTGTGCACAAAAGACTGTTCTTGCCTGAGGGCAGGAAATCTTTTATGGGCAGCTGCCTCTTCTTTTATGTACACTGCATTTTTACTATCCATACCACCCCCATTTTGTGCCCGCCTGCTGTTTCTCTCCATATATTGAAATTCTCCTGCACCACTGTTCTCCACACCCGAAAAAGCATGCTCCCTTGGGCTCTCCCTCTCCATGCCTGCTGCCTCTCTGAAAGCGTATGACCTGCGCATTCCGCCCAAAATAGAATTACTTTCTAGCTCTGCCATCTGCACTTCTCTATCCATACTGTGCGCTGCTCTTTCACCTGCATGCTCTGCCTGCCTGGTGCCGTACTCTATTCTATGCGCCTCCACATCTGTTGTGTCCATGTATAGATGGCTTTTCGGTGTTTCTGGAGACATATACATTGTCCTTGACATGTTGTTCTCTTTTGCTGTTCCAACTGACTTTTCTCGAACCCATGCCAGGATCTTCTCTTTTCCTGCACATTCTTTGTACTGCAGAATGTCATTTGCAAGCTCTAGAACCTTTGCTCTTTTGCTTTGATCAATGGGAAGACGGCTTTCATAGCTAAACCATCCCTGCCAAAACTGCAAAAATCTCCAGAACTTGCTCTTCAGCATCTTGTAGACCTCTCTTATTTCAGTGTGGGCATATCCATTTTTTTCTAGTGTATGGATGTACCCCTCCCACAGAGAGTGCGTCTTCTCATTTGCTTCAAGGTTTTTCTGGGTTGCCTCGTAGTACATGGATAGCTGCCGCGTGGCACTTGCATTCCCTCTCTTCTGCTCTTCTATGTACGCAAGGATGTCTTCTATGTGAAAGAGTCTTTCCATCTATAAATAAAAAAGTAAACTTGCTCATCTTTTCTTTATTACCTCTACCTGCCCATCAGTGTTCCTCTGAGTCACTCTCTTTTTCTGCAGCTTCCTTAGCCTTCCGCTCCTTTTCACTTTGGAATGCCTTTTTTAGCTCCTCTGCTCCCTCCTCTAGTATTATTCCGTATCTTGGCAGAACCTCCACAATTTTCTTTGCCTTTCCTCTATCCTTGCTTGTCACCATAGTAAACACACTCTGTGCTATTTGATGAAGACTCATTAAATAGACTGTCTTGTCTGTGGCCCCGTACGCCATGGATGATTTTGTTATTTTTTTCAGATCTGTCAGGAAACCTTCCTTTATTTTCTTGCAAAGGTCTGCGTGCGTCAGAATGTATATCCACTTCTTTCGCTCTAGATACTCGCCTATCTCGGTTGTGTGCCTAGTCATAAGTGTCTCTACTCTTTCAATTGACTCAATTACCTCCTGCACTTCATCCGCTGTTTCTGCAGTTATAACGCACGGCACTGTGATGTTTCTTTCAAGTGCAATGATGAATGCATTTCTTCGGAGATGTGATGCGCCTGCATACACTATCTCGTGCCTGCGCGTAAATGCTATGGGTGTTCTTGCCAGCCCAAACCCGTTTTTTATTGGAAGTATTCTTTTTATCCCAGCTCTCTCCAGATCCTGCGTGCTTTCTATTTTGTACACGTTGCTCACAAAGTAAAAGCGAGTCCCCCTCTTTTCATTCTGGGATATAATTTCTTTTTTGTCCATTGATCTTCTTATATTTACAAATATAAAGTCCTTCTTTCCCTTTGCTATAACGCACTTCCCTGCATACGCAGTGTACGTGCACAGCACTGTACCCTCTATTTCACTCTCTGCTGCCTCTATTTTTGTGTTCTCTGTTACAAGAGATACTATGGCTTCTGGGAATAGATCTGTGATCTCCTTCTGCACCTGCTCGAGATATCCCTTGCACGGACTGTCAATCACCACAACAGTCTTTGATATTTCTACCTCTTTAAGAAGTTTTTCATCGATACTGGTGTCCTCTCGCAGAATCATGTCTCCTGCCTCGTATACTGGAATTTCCCTGTTCCGGCTTTTTTTTTCCATAAAAAAAATGTCATATTGTTTACATATTTACACTATGCCCGGTCTGCAGGCTGATGCCAAAAAAGAAGAAACATCAAAAAAGCAGCCCCATTCAGGGGTTGAAAGCAAAAAGCTTTTGCTACTTCCTGTTGATAAAGCGAAGATCCAGCTAGATGTACTCACATACTTCTCAGAGTCTGCCTACTACACTGCTTTTGTTGCCTTCAAAAAAGAAATAAATTCAACTTTTGAGCCATCTCCTCTGCTAAAGGAAAGAGAGGAAATAAGGATTTTTGCAGCAGATGGAAAATTCCTTAAAGTACTTGCAGCCACACAGAAGCTGCTCCCGTGCCTTTTATTCAACACGCCAGGCATGGCGTTTGAAGTCATAAAGCAAGACATCCTTGAAGACATGTACATTCGGAATAGGTCAGAGGGCAGTGCTCTTGTTCGCATTGAGAAAGAGCTGTCTCCAATTGTCTTAGACCACCCAGACCTTCTTCCAAACCTTGAGGACCTGGTGAGTTCTATTCTATTTGGAGAGTCCTCCCAGGAAGAGGTGATAATTCGCAGAGATGCCATATTCACCAGTATTAACCAGCTTCTTTTGATGTCTGTTGACTATGTCATACAAAACTCGATTAAATCCTTGCTGATGGGGGTATCTTCTGCTTTAGAAATGCCAGAAGTCACCGTGCTATCCAAGAACTGCAAGATGCTGCACGGTATTTTGGAGAGCCTTACATCATAGGGGTGCTTACGGACAGTGTGCGTACTCTGATTTGCATACTGCATCTCTGTTTTCTATAAGAAAAATAGCTGTGCGCACCTTTGCTCTCTGCATTCTATGTGCTTTCTGTGTTTTTTTTCTTTTTGCAGCTCTTTACCTTCTTCTATGCGAGTTCTCTGTTTTTGGGTGGGCTGCTTCTTATTTTTCTGTGCTTCACAGAATATAATATGTACATTTATTGCAGAATGAAGAGTTTAGATTCCAAAAACAAAGACAATTTAAATAAAGAACAAACCACATATACCATTCATATTTTTCAATGAAAACCCCTTTATAAAGGAGAGTTAGACAAAATAAGAGAGAAAGTGCAGCAGAAAGAGGGATTATATATATTTATGCTGGGTATATATAATTACAGCTATGTTCAGTTGCATGCAGGCTGCATATGAGGTGGAAAGAGGCCCTTAAAGATAGATGAAGCCTTGAGCAGATAGTAAAGATCATTTATTTGTTGATTAACCGCACTATGCCCAGAGAGAATCGCATATAAAAACTGCCATGCCTTTCTCTATGTCAATCTCAACATCGTGCACATTTGCATTCTTAGAAATACTGGCCATTGCCCTAGCCTTCATAATTGCAAAAAGAGGATCTGATTTTGAAAGGGGCCTAAGCTTCCCTGTGCTATGGCTGTATATGGTGGGGTTCTCCACATATATTCTGGCAGCTTTGTTTAACCCAACGCCAGGGCGTATATTGTCTTCGTTCTCCACAAGGAATACATACCCATTATCCAGTGTCACGGTTTTTTCTACAGTGTCAAGATTTACATTGCTCAAGTCCACTTCCTCCTGGAACTCAAGCCTTCCATGCCCTTTCCTTCCAATTACAAAGCCACTTACTTTTTTGCTTGGCATCTTTCTTATCTGGCTGATTGAAGGAATTGTATAATATTCATTTTCCTCTATCTGTGAAAGAGTATCATTTGTAAGCTTCTGTTTTTCTGCGCTTTTTTCTTTTCCCTCTGCTGTGGTAGACACATACTGCTTGAAGCATATGGATGGCTTGAACTTAATCTTAGTGGCAGGTGCTTTTTTGAAAAGAGGCATTTGTATCTCCATGATAGACTTCTTTTTGTAATCTTCGCACTCCTTAAAGCTCAGTGATTTTATAAGATACGGGTCTTCAGAGGCGCCCCCTGTGCCAGAAGAGATCTTGTTTTCCCCAAGAGTGCTCCCTCCAAACGCGCTGCTTGTTCCAAATGCACTTGTGCTCTGCGGCTGCAGGGTGCTTCTTCCAGCTGTACCAAGCCCAAAAGCACTTCCGCCGCCAAGAGAAGACGAAAACCCAGTTAGCTTGTTGTCTAGAGACGAGCTCTCAAAAGGCTTGGACAAAGACCCGCCTAGACTGCTGCCAAAGGCAGGCTTGCTGTCAAGCGCAGAGGATGATCCAAAGGAAAAAGGGGTTGTGGTGGATTGGTCTGCAGGCTTGGTACTTCCCAGCCCGCCAAGAATGCCTGTTCCTGTGTTTTCCAGGCCAGATTGCGTAGTTGTATTCTGGCCCTGCGAAAAAGATCCCAGTCCACCTGCTGTGCTTTGCTGCGATCCAAATAGTCCTGTGCCCAGCGTGCTTGAGCCTGGAGTCTGGCCCGGTGCTCCTGCAGTGCTGGTGCTACTTCCGCCAAATCCGCCAAGAGAAGAGGTCTGGGTTGCTCCCATACCCAGGCCTGTGCTTGGTGTGCCAAAGGATGAAAAGGCAGATGGCTGCCCTGCTGTTCGATTGCCAAGCGAGCTCTGCATCTGCGAGTTCTGCCCAAACAGGCTGGATCCTGCAGGAGTGCTGCCCATTCCCATTGAGAAGGAGTTTTCTCCAGTTGATGTATTTCTGTTGCCTAGTATGCCAGTTCCGCTTTGGTTAGCAGATGCACTGTTTCCTAGCGCATTTGTCCCAAGACTGCCAAATGAGTGCTGTGTCTGCCCAAGCATGGACTGCTGCCCCATGGTCTGGTTTGCGCCCAGCATGCTGTTGTTATTAAAGGCACTTGGCATGGTCTGCTGCTGCGCCCCCAGCCCTGATGAAAAGGGTGTTTGCGTCTGCTGCATTTGCATCGAGTTTGGAGTCTGCGAGATGCTTCTAAATCCGCCCAGTGTGGATGTGTTCTGTGGCTGCTGGAATGAATTGTTTGATGACTGTCCCATGAAAGGCGAGTTTGTGCTCTGCCCAAATGCTGTGTTCCCTGTGTTTTGCATCTGCCCAAATAGACTATTTCCTGGCGTGCTTGGCTGGGTGGGCGACGAAAACATGCCTGAGTTCCCCATTCGAGGCTGCATTGAGTAGGATGGCGTGGGTAAAGAGCTGAATCCCCCAGAAACAGCAGGCTTATTCTGGCCAAACATGTTTTGCGACCCCATCATATCCATTGGCTTCTGCATATACGCGCTGGATCCAGAGTATGAGTTGTGAAATCCAGACCTGGGCACAATTGTGCCCTTCCTTCCCTTTGCATAGTCGGCACAGCGAAGCTCCTCTAGAGTGTGTGGGCTATATACGTCGAGAGAAGTAATGCAGCAGCTGCTCACGGATATGCTATTATCTAGCTTAGTTCGAATAGAAAACGGCTCTATGGATGTGTCTGGCACCGTTGGAAGAATTCTAATTGGTGAATCATCTGGAATCTGATTTCCATACCCGCTGTGCTGCGGCTGATGCATTGAGTACATGTTGTTAGACCCACCGTATGGCTCTCTGTACATATCTTGTGTTTGTCTCTGGAGTGGGCTTGAGCCGTAAAAACCGGATGAATACCCGCTTTGGTTCTGTTGTCCTCCGTTCATAGACAAAATAAAATTTGCACACTTTAATTCGCATGCGAATTCTTCTTTGCCTTGGGCGCCATGGGCACTTTGCAAGAGCGCTTTTTGCCAGGCAGCTGCTGAAGAGCAGTCTTTAATGAATGCATCTGCAGTGTATAGTATATTTGGGGACAGACTTGCTTCTTTATAAAAAGAGAAGTAATAAATGATTAAGATGAAAAATAGTTATGCATCTCAGCAGGTTTATTGTAAGCAAAGAAATTATAAAGTAATTTTTGGTTTTCTGTGTCCTATGGACGTGAAACCTCCCTGAGTCCAAAATGGAAGGACATTGTTTTCCCAAGAATTTGGCTAGTAGCCAATAAGACATGAGGGGTTCTGTTTGTTTATAGGCCAATGTATATTTGTGTATCGCGAAGATATAGTAGCTTATTATTGATTTGTTGTGGTTCACACTCTAATCAAAATACAGCCCACGAAACTATATAGCCGATAATAAATAATATGACGAATAGGAAAACCATGTCTAATATTTCAGAGAAAACTCAGATGTAATGCAAAAATGGACGCCCATTATTAATGAATAGTATTTAGATCAAAGTCAATGGAGTATAGATCTACTGCATTAGAGCTTTTCACTGCAAATATAGCTTTAAATTGTTTCATGGATGGGATGAATACAGCCATTAGTCTCATTTTGGACTTGTTTGGGGTGCCACCTGGTGTGAAAATTACCTCTGCTTTAAATACTTCAGAAAGTGCAGAACCATCTAAATCTTTTAGGGTTGCGCATAGATTCTGGTTTCTATCTATACTTTTTATCAGTTTTACAACTGTATCTTGTAAATGCAAACCCACAGTGGTTTCACGGATATCATTTATGTTTTCAGATATCTCCACTGTTGTACTGAAAAAGTCAGTTTCAGTTTCTGTGCCAATGACTGTATATGCTGCCGTTGTGCTGCTAGATGCAACACTAGTGAGTATGGCTGCGGCTGTGCTGCTGGATGGTGCACTAGTAGTGAGTGAGGCTGCAGTTGAAGTGGCAGCTGCAGTAGCATTATTTATAAAGTCTTCGCATAGCTTATATGTTTCTTCATCTGTTAACCCATGGATAGGAGCCCCACTGCCTGCTTTGATAAGACCAATTGCTGCGCCCACTAAAAATGCAGTAGCGCCTATTGCAAAAATAGCACCTGTTACCTTTATGCCTATCCCTGACAAGGCAGTTTTTACTAAAAAGCTAGCATCCAGTCTACCAACTATATTACGCAAAAAGCCCATCTTGTTGGCTGGTATACCACTCAATCCTTTCATCCTGCTAAAGGCGTTATTATTAAGTCTGCCCTGAGAATTTTTTCCTGTTGTTTTAAACCCGGAAAGCTTTCTTTTAGACCCAAGTGCATCTCGAATATCAGGGATATCTTCATTAATTCTCACATCCCCATTCTTATTTCCATTTATATCTCTATTTTTATTTGACCTTGGTCTATATTTATCTGCAATATTCTTAAATATGCCGCCGTCCAATACAAGAACCTTTTTTTTACTTTTTTTAGTCTTCTTACTACTCTTATTGTCTATAGGATGGTTTGGCACCTTAGGATAATTTAAATCCCCAGGCTTCGGGATATCTTTTAATCCCTGCTTCTTATTTGAAGGGACTTTGCTATTCTCAGAGGGTTTATTTGAATTGCTAATGTCAGGTGCTTCTAAATTTATACCTACTGATGGCTTTGATTTTCCAGCTGGTACTTTTGGCTGATTTGGTTTATCACGGCTAGGCTCAAGAGCTGCACTAGGCTTATTACGACTAGGCTCGGCACCCGCACTAGGTCTGTCACCACTAGGCTCAAGAGCTGCACTAGGTCTGTTTCGACTAGGCTCGGCAGGCGCACTAGGTCTTTCACCAATAGGCTCAAGAGGTGCACTGGGCTGCTTAGGTATATGCTCTATTACCTTATTCACTTGCTTTGGGTTAAGTATTTCATTTTTATTTGATGGAACTTTACTCATCTGATTCTTTGGTACACTGTTTGCTACATTAGACGCGTCGACTATACCTTGAATATTAGAAGGATTATTCGAACCTTTGTTTAAATCAGGCATACCCTGCGTATTACCAGCTCCTTTGCTTGATCCACCAGCTGGAGCGCGTTTTCCTTTAATTAAATCTGACAATAAAGAAAGAAGCTTCATTAGAAGATCCCAAATAGAATCTTTTGCAACAAGTAGAACAAAAATTAGTATGAGAGTAATTGTTAAAATAGCAACCAATTTAAAATGTGTTTTTGGGCGCTCATGTGAAACGTGCTTTACAGTCTCTGAGCTATTTGAAGATGCCTGAACACAGTCTGTAGAGTTCTTATTTCGATGGTCCAAAAGGGTATTTGTTTCTACTGCACTTGTCTCACGCTGACCAGAAGTTTCCTGCCGAGGATTAATAAGGTTAATCGACTCGTCACTGCTATCTTCTTCCTTTACTGCTGCTGTCACAGCTAGTACTATTAAAATGCAACAAATCGCATTTATCCATAGCCTTTCTTTCATTAAAGTTCACTTTATTACTCTATATATATCTGCCCTGAACAGATCAAGATGATATAACCCTTAATTTTCTAGAAAGACTCCCTAGTAAAAGTGTTTTGGATATATTTTCTAAATAAACTGCTAAATATTAGAGATATACACCAATACTGACCTATGTACCCTTTATATCTATCTGTTCATATTTATCTACTCCTAGCTGTATGTATTATTTAACCTGAATTGCAGTAATCTTTCTGCTAGTATATTCTAATAAAAGCTATTTCTTCTAGAAAGAATAATTCTAAAAGAATTTATTTCATTTTGGGTTATTCAGACTATATGAGAAAAGTGCTATATAAGGGGATGTCTATATAAAGGGTTCTTGTGATCATGGGAGGCTATAATTTACGCCATTTTTTCCTAGCCGGTGCACTGACTTCTGCAGTCAAAAATACAGAAGTGTTATGGCCCCCGTAGGAATAGCCTGAATATTGTTGAATTTTCTTTTCTTGATCAATAAAGTCGTATAGGTATCCTCTCTGACAGGATCTTATTCAATAAAAATACCTTTCATTAAAAAACTGGTGCACTGATTTCTTTAGAGAAGCATATATAAAATATGTACATCTTCAAATGGATATATCCACTTGCATGTTAACCACTGCATATTATCAAAAAATACTTTGGAATTTTACTGTGCATTAGCACTGTTTTATTCTGCTGTATAGTATCCCTGCGCAGACATAAATAAAGTTCATGTTTAAGCAATGAGGAAGTAACAAGATTTCTCTTATGGAGAAAGTAAAGTATGCCTTCTATCAACACAACTTGTTTTGTAAGCAGCTAATTCCAGTCATATTAAACTCAAATTCATTAAATACACAGCAAATACATCTGTTCCTTTTGTTATCTGAATGATTTTATGCAAACTCTCATGTATACGATATTTTGCTAGATTGCTAGTTTATACAGACTGCAAGGACTACTAAAATTATAACTCTAAAAATATAGTCTGAACCAAGGATCAGCACTCTCCAAAAACTTCCATATAGATCATTTATTTTCTTATAATGGTTTCTGAGGTCTACGTAATACATTCATCAGGCACACACTATTACATGCAGTGCCTTCTGTCATTTCTTTAAACCTTTTATTCTTTCTTTAAAAGAGTTTATCTAGAGCCTCTAGGAGACACGTTATTTCTTCGAGCAGATATTCTCTCTGGCTTATATGGAGAATTTTCATAACTTCTTCCACGTTCTCTTCCACCACTGCCATTTGAATTATTTCCTGTTTGGTTCTGCTGTTTTCTGGGGGGCAATTTGCCACACATCACTACTGAAGCAAGGAAAATGCTGCAGCATATAAATAAGAGACAAAGCTTATTTTTTCCTTTTGAAGTACTATACTTGCTCATACTAGTTTAGATATATGCACTTCTTTACCTCTATTTATAGATTTTGTATGATCTACTACTGACCAATGCATGTTATAATATTGACTTATTTGTATCCCCGCATACAAGATCTAAGTGATCGAATCCATCCATTATTAGAAATTAGAGGGCTCATAATCTGATTGGTTTAGCTATGATCTAGAAGCAGAAGACGCTTCACTTAGAACTATTTAAGTAAATAGAAAATCACCTATAGACCTAGGCTCTTTTCATATTGATCCGTAGATAAATTTCTAATGACAGCTGCACAGTCATAATGAAAACCAGCCAATTATTTGTCCATAGGGAAATAAAATGTCAAAAGTCAAAGCAGCCAAAGACGACTTGCGTGTAAACAATTAGAGCCCCTTTTAGTGTGCTAGCCTACAGTGAAAGACCTGGGAAAATATTAACGTGCATTAATCTATATTGCTGATCTGGGAAAAGGAACACCCATAAGACAGAAAAAGAATATTTAGTAAGCAGTATAAATAATAAAAGTGAATTTTACTATACTGGTTGCTTATTATATCTAGTAGAATGTGTATGTTTTACATACTGCTTTTATTTAGAGTTGTATGTGAAAGGGGGGCAGCTATGCTCCAAATATATTCTTTGGCTTGCTTTCTGTGATAAGCTTTAATTTATTTTTATATCTACATGATATTCTCTTTTCATATATTTCTATCTTTTTTTGGCTTTTATATTTATTATTTTACAGCAGGTTGCAGGTATATAAGTGTATAGAGTTTATAATTTTAAATATTTATTTTCTTAGCATTAGCTGCTTTTTAGAAATTATTCACTGAAGAGAAATTAAAATGTGCATTATTTATTAAAAGCAACAGATTGACGGCTGAACATAGAAGTGCACTGGGCTGTATTTAATAGACCTATTTAAGGATATTTTGACTATGGCGCAGAAACCCATCTAAATATGTTTAAAGTAGGATTTTACTGCACAAGGTCTGTTAAAACACGGTAATTTGTAGACTATAAAGGGTTGTTTATTTAATTACTTGCTTAAAGCAGTGGAAATAATAAACACATCACTGCTTGGGTACAAGTTATATGCTCACATGCGGACAAAAACCATCCTATGGTTTCATAAGTCAGGAGATCCATAGAACTACTTCAATCAAATTTGCCTGCATTCAGCTCTCTAAGAAGGTCATCGTATGTGTCTGCTTGGGTACTAGGAGTGTCTTGTGCCTGGGACTCTCTGTTTTCTGTCTGGGGAAATAAAAACTGTAGATCTATTGTGTATATTTTGAAATTGCGATCGAATATGGCAAGCATGTCTTTGTGCTCGCCCATAAACTCAATAGCAAATATTCCATTGTCCTTTGTTATTTCTAGAGACTCTATAATATTTCTGCATTTTGCATCTATAACATATATAGAGGTTGGTGTGCTGCATATATAAAAGGACGCGCCCATGCATGCATATAAGAGCAGCCCAGTTAGTTTTTCCCCTGCCACCTTCAAAACCTTTTTGATAGTGCAGTGCTTCTGCTCACTGCTATTTTCTAGCTCCATGATCCAGCCTCCAATAGTTCCTACAAGCGAGGTTTCTTCCTCTGCTATGCATGTGATGGACTCAGTGTGACTTTCATTTCGAAGAAATTCTGCCTTTCCACATGCGGATAACCTGTCTCCATCCACTCTAGCATAGTGAATGGCATATCCAGCTGTAACAGTAATATCTTCGTCTGTGCATTTAATGTCAAAGGGCCATGTTCCAATGTGCATGCTTGATATTCCGCCCTCTTGCACCATATACATCTGCGTGGTATCGCAGACAAGAAGGCCGTGGGGAGTTGGAAGGATGTGCTTTATTGGGTATGCACCAGGGGACACTTTTATTTTTACTCCTGCAATATAGACATTTCCATCCCAGTCTCCTATTATATAGTCCTTAATAGAAAAGTTCTGAAAAGAAGCAGGGTTCTCTTGGAAGGAGCTGCCTGCAGAAGAATCTACAAGAGCATGCACTCTGTCGACAAGATCCAGTGGGATGTGCGCAATAAAAGAGACAGGAGGCTCTATCTTAAACACAGCACGAGGAGAAGTGCCTTTCAGCAGATAGATATTTCCTAGAAATCCGCCATAGAGCTTTCTGTCCGTGGATATGCATGTTAGCTTCTCTGAGTGCTTTATTTCAGACACTTTGATGGACACATGGGTCAACGGGCTCTTTCTGTAGAAATACATTTGACAAAAAATTCTTTTCAGTTAATATGAAGGAGCAAGGAAGCAGAGCAGAAGAAGTGAAAAAGCGAGTAGGCGTTGTTATACAGTCGATCCGATCCACGATGGGAACTAGCTTGGGGCCAAAGGGAATGGACAAAATGATAACGCAGGGAGCAAGCACAACAATAACAAATGACGGAAGCACAATCCTGAAAATGATGAAAATGAAGCACCCCATTGCGCAGCTAATATGTAACATATCGCATTCGCAGGATGAGCAGAGTGGAGACGGAACAACCAGCGTCACACTGCTTCTGTGCTCTTTGGTGGAGCAGGCCCTTGACCTTGCGTCCAGAAAGGTGCATCCTGTGGTTATTGCAGAGGCCATGGAGGTGGCAAAGAATCTGTGCAAAGACGTGCTTATTAAAAATGCGTCTAGAATTGAGGGAAGCATAAATGTGCGGGACTGCATTCGGATTGCTCTGAACTCAAAGATAGTAAATGCATACATCGACAAAATAACAGAGGTGACAATGAAGGTGATAGAGCACAGCACAGACAAAGAGAAGCAGGACCTTAACCTAAGCAAGGTACGGAGAGTAAAGATAAAGGGAAACATGGAGGAGACTGAAATGGTTGCTGGGATCGTTCTATCTGCGCCTTTGAAGAGGAAAACAAAGTTTGTGCCGCGAAAAATGAAAATGGCAATTTTCCAGTGCACGATTGGGCAGTCAAAGCCATCGATCGATGCGAAGGTAACAATCAACAACTATGAAGCAATGGAGCAGGTGATAAGAGAGGAAAAGGCACATGTGCTCTCTCTGTGCAAGCACATAAAGGACAAGGGAATTGATCTTATAATACTGCAAAAAAGCATCATTCGGGAGTCTCTGTCTGAGCTGGGCCTGCACTTCCTTGAGAGAATGGGGATTATGATAGTTGACGACGTGGAGAGAAAGGAGATTGAGCTTTGCGTTGAGCAAATGGGGCTCACACCAGTTGTAGATATCACCGAGATCAAAGACAGTATGATAGGGGAGTACCATGTAGAGGAGCTGGAGGGGCACATTAAGATATCAGCAGGAGCTGGTGTGTGCACAGTTGTGCTGCGGGGAACAGACGACGTTATCTTGGAGGAGGTTGACAGAAGCTTCAACGATGCAATTAATGTGGGGAGGCTTGCAGTGAAAAGGCCGCTGATGACATATGGAGGAGGAGTGCCAGAGCTTCTGTGCTACACAGAGATGGCAAAGTACAACGGATCGTCTAACCCAAAGATAAACTACTGCGTCAGAGAGATAGCAAAGGGTCTTCTTGTCATACCAGAGATGCTTGCCGTCAACGCAGGTGCCGACTCCATAGCAACCGTGGAAAGTCTGATTAAGCTGCACAGCCAGGGCAAGCACATGTATGGGGTTTCAATAAAAGCTGTTGGAGAGGAAGACATGAAAAAAGAAAATGTGGTGCAGCCTGTAGATGTGTCTATTTCTGGAATATCCGGAGCCTTTGATGGAGCATCCACCATCATCCGAATTGATGACTTCATACCAGCTGCTAAGTAAGAGGCATTCCGTATATGGGGTATTATTAATAAATTCAGAGTTTGAAAACAGCTGTGCAGTAAAATATATTTTAAGACCGCCCCGATCTAGTTGAACAGGTTCATTTCCAGAAAGAAAGTGCCCTTCCATGCAGATGCAGAATTCACAGGACAGCCTTCTTAAATAAGTGCCAATTAAGCCAGAGAATTCTGCATGATTTATAAGCAAAGCTAGAGAAAACATGAGCGCGCACAAATAACCAAGAATGTGGCAAGAAGTGATGCATGAATACAGGCATATGCATTGCTAAGAAATAATTGTGCAAATTCCAAGCCTCTGCTTTTTTGCATAATTTCTGGATTGGCTAGCAAGATGCAGTGTTTAGGTGTGGTTCTGTAGATGAAAGCGCATTACATTGCTTTAAAGTTACGCAGGACCTAGAAAAACAATGCATGCACATTATATTTTGCTACACGCATTCTATAGTGTATTAAAAATGAAGATTCTTTAATTTAAATATTTATTAACTGATTTTATACAAGTTTATCGATAATAATATTTAGACTTCTAAAATATTAAATTTCCTATGAGTTAATAGCAGCATCCTCTTTCTTTTCAGAGCTTTTCCCGGCAGCAACATCATCTTTCTTTTCAGAGCTTCCTACGGCAACATCATCTTTCTTTGCACTGATTTCCCCTGCAGCAGCATCCTCTTTCTTTTCAGAGGTTTCCCCGGTAGCAACATCCTCTTTCTTTGCAGCTACACTGGCCTGTGTATCTACAGAACCCGCAGATGACACAGAAGAATTATCAACTGCCACAGATGACCCAGATGCCACAGATGACCCAACTGCCACAGCAGAATTATCAACTGACTCAAATGACTCAGATACCTCAGATACCTCAGATGACTCAGATGACCCAGATACCTCAACTGACTCAGATGACATAGATACCGCAGATTCCCCACATGCATACACCTGACTGCTGTATATAAAGAGAATTGCTGCTATGAAAAATGTTATTATTATTGTTTGTCTTCTTGCCATGTATTTAGAAATTGTTCTGCTATTTATTCTTTTGCAGTTTTTTTAGAACACAGCCTACGGTACAAGCAGCACCAACCAAAAATATTCTAAAATAATCAGGATTTTCAACAAATGCATAGATGGGTCTATATAGTGCATCTGTCCTGGAATAAAAACAATTGGATAATTGCAAAAAGACAGTGCAGTTTCAGTGTGCTAACAAAGCTTTTTTCTTTGAGGCTGCATAAAAATGATGTGGTCCAAGCATACACCGGTTGCATCCAATGCAAACCCGAATAGACTAAATATTCGCTAGGTCTTTACATACAGTGCCAATTGATGGCTATCCAGATATGAATATCGTATAATTGTGCTGTATATGAAAATTGGGTGCTGCAATAGCATAGTACAGAGTCTACTTAAAAAGTCAGAGTAATTTGTGTAATAAAGATTTATTAGTGAGCAAACGAATAATAATTATGTAAAAATAGTGAGTTTGTCCCCATTCAAAGACCACGCACCGATATCTACCTGCTGGCGGATGCACTCATCTATCTCGGCCATGTCAAAGCGGCTGGCTTCTTTGTAAATGCAATCCAGCTCGATTACCTTATAGGATTCATTATTACCGCCTTCCATTTTCATGATTATATCGTATATACTGAGCGAATCGCACCCCAAAAGGCGAAGAACCTCCTCAACATCCTGTATAGTGACCGTTTTTCTTCTGTGTGCCTTTGCAAGCGCCTGCGAAAAACGAAGCACTGACAAAACGCGCCTTGCTGTGCCCGGAAGCCCCTTCCCAAGCATTTTTGCATCCTTTGCTCTTTCAAGCGAGTATGCAGAGACGATTCTTTCCTGCACGCCTTCTCCTAAGGAAGGCTCAATGACCTTGCACTTGTTTATCTCAGCGGCCAGCTTCTCAATTGGGAGAACGCCTGTAATTGCGCCTTTTCTTTTGTGCACTCCAAGAATATGCTTGCATATCTCAACATCGCCCTTTCCAGCTATGTCTTGAATGACCTTCACTGCGTCAAACCTGGAGATAAGAGCACTTGGAAGCCCTGCGTTCCAGGCAATGCCCTTCTTCTCAACATACCGCCCCTTAATGGGGTTAGCAGCTGCAAGAACTGAGCATCTTGCGTTGAGTGTTGTGTTTATACCAGCCTTGGATATGCTTATTCTATGCTGCTCCATTGCTTCGTGCACGCAGGATCTGTCGCTTTCGTGCATTTTGTCGAACTCATCAATGCAGCAGATACCGCCATCGCTCATGACCAAAGCACCACCTTCAAGAATGTGCTCTCCTGTCTCCGAGTCTCGCGACACGCATGCTGTCAAACCTGCCCCACTTGCTCCCTTTCCCGTTGTAAATATGCCTCTGGGCGAGAGCCTGCATACTGCCTTCAAAAGCTGACTTTTTGCCACACCAGGGTCTCCGACCAAAAGGACGTTAATTTCTCCTCTTATTCTTAGCCCGCCTTCAGTGCAGGTGTCTCCTCCAATGAGCATCAGAAGAAGCAGCTTTTTTATGTCCTCCATTCCTGATATCTCAGGTGCTATTGAGGAGGCCATCAGGTCAACCATGCCCGGGGAGTTTTCTTCCTCTTCAGGAGCTATCTCCTGCTGCTCGCTCACCGGGGAAACAGCTTCTTCTCCGGATGCTCTGTTTTCATCTGTGTTTTCGCTTGTAGGCCGGGCTGCGCGCACTGATGCTTTTTTGATCGGGCGCACATATGATCCAAGTATGTACGTGTCACTCAGCAGGCCCATGCGCATCTTCTGGATTCCTTCGTTTGGCTTTGGAAGGAACACTCCAGAAACAAGCACCTCAGTGCCAGGAACTGCTGTTCGAACAAGCTCGTCGTACACCTCCACTGTAAGAGACCGGGGAACTCGCCCTGGCTCAACCTCAGCAGAGAGTTCCTGCACCCGAAAGACCTGCTTTGAGCGGAACTTTGATGGCCGCGTCTGCAGGTGCAGTGTTCCCTTTGTTCTTCCAGCTCTGCATTTTTCAGACTGGCACTCTGACAGCGGGAGGAAGGTCTCGCCCTCCACCTCCTGAAACACCTCAGAGGTGCATGAGTCGCACATGAAAACCGCCACAGAAATAGATGGGTGCACGTCCGACGCCTTGCTTATTATTCCCCGAATGCAGACAAGAGACCCAATCACGTCTGGTGTCACATCGTTGAAAGAGAGCAGGTCTGTTCGGTATATGTTCACGCTGTAGTAGCGAAGAATGCTTTTAGTAAGCACCTCAAAGACAGACTTGTTTGGGTATCTCTCCATCACCCGGGCCTTTCGATGCTCAAAAAAAAGATCCTCCTTTGGCATCTCTATCTCCTCTGCCCTCAGCATCTCATCCACAATTTCATACACAATCTCTCTGTATCTGGCGGTGTTGTTTAGCACATCCGCATACAGGTCAGTGTTTCCGTCCTCAAGGATGTCAGACACATTGATGCTGATTGCCTTTGTTTTCGAAAGTGCTTTTATCTGCGCCATGTACTTTAGCGTTCCAGAGCTCTCAAATGTGAAAAGAAATCTCCGCATTGTGTCTTTACTCACAGCATAGTCTTTCTCAATCCTGTACTGCCGTAGGTCTTCCATTAGAAAAAATAAAATATGCAGATTTAACCAGAGCGCAAGAAAAGGCAGAAATGCGCAGTTGCAGGCCAGGGCATGCTTTCTGCAGACAGATGCACAGGACTGCCATTTTTAGCTTCTGTATTAAGGCATGCTGTACTTAATGCTCTGCATAGAATAGATACCCTGCATAGAATAAGAAAGTATTGGAATGATGTGCTTGTTTAGCCCCATATAAGAAAGTGTATACAAGAAAACAAAGAAAGATTTACTTCGGCTTGACAATGTAGAGCGCATCTATTTTGTGAAGAACCCCGCCTACAAGAACACCTGCGTCTGGGGTTACTCCAAGCTCAATGTGGTACGAGGTGCCATCGACAGTGAACTCTGTGCCAATTGACGCATTTTTGGGGAGGCTTGCGACAGTGAGGTTTTTTGGAAGCTGAAAAAGAATTTGCATGGGGAAAGAAGAAAAAAAGGCTCTTAGCAGATTCGAACCACTGACCTTTGCTTTACGAGAGCAACGCTCTACCCCTGAGCTAAAGAGCCTACATTGATGCTAGATGCGTAGGCAACATGTTGGGAGGCCCCCGGGGTCTGTATAAATGAAAAGCAAAATAGTAAAAATCAAATGCATGGAGGAAAGAGCTGTGCAGGGTGTGAAGAGTGTGAGAGAAAAAAAGAGAGCAAAAAGATAAGCATAAGTGATGCGTTTCTGTCAAAGGCAAGATACACAAAAAGGCCGACGTACTACACAAATATAAGTATAGATAGGGCGAGTGAGATCGGCAAACAGCATGCATCGCCATCTTCTTTTTCTGAAGCGCGGCAGTTCAGCTCCTCTCCGTTGGTTGGGGCGGAGCTAGGCAGCAAGCGCGTGCGTGATGGGTTCTTTGTGCCTAAGAGTGGGCCTCTGTTCTCCTCTGAGGGGGATTCTCCCAGAAAAATTCAAAAAATAGAAAGTCTTTCGTATGGACTATCTGGATTGGCGCCACTGTCCATGGCCCGGGAGGCGCCCAGCCAGCCTGTGCACTCCAAGAAAGTGATTCCGGTTCCGCTGGGGAATGCGTTTTCTTTCAATGGCACAGCGCAGGGAGATCTATGGGATATTGACATCACAAAAAGAGTGGGGGATATGCAGCCAGGCGGACTGCAGAGTGCCGGAGGAGAGGGTGATTTTTTAAAAGCGACATATCCAGACTATGCGGAAAGAGAGAGTCCGCGCAGAAGCGAGCAGGGTTTTGCAGCGCACGAGCAGGAGATTGCGCCCATCCGGGTTATGGGCCAGGGCCTTTCACATGGAGCGGATTTATCTAGCTATGCAGAGGAGTCTCCTTTGGCAAGTGTGCGCATGTATGGGGCGGGGATGGGAGGAAGAGAGCCGCAGCAGAAAAGAAGCCCGTCAGCCACACTACTCAACGGACAGGGCGGCATGTTCGCAAATGGGCTGGCTCTCCATGGAGGCATCGGCTCTTTTCCAGCGCCAGACTCGCTCAGCTATCTATCTGCAAATACTTCTGCAAGCAGCTGCAGTATGGGGGTGGGCAGTGAGGACTCAGTCGGAGGCTTTCGCATGCGCACAGGTCTCGGCGTGCACAAGGCCGCGGGCACCTCCTTCTCTGGGGAGTCTCTACATGGAAGCGCAACGCGCACTGCATACAACCCTCTTCAAAGCACAGTCTATCACAGCGCGCAGACATCACAGCTTAAGCACGCGGTAATTCTATCCACAGCAATTCTTCCTTTAATTGACTTTACGCTTGACCCCATGAAGCAGCACGCAAAGCTGAACAAAGTGCTTGGGCTTCCAAGGCTGCTGCCGCACAACTTTGTCCTGACAAAAAACATCATGGACCTTGTCTTTTCCAGCGGAGGGCTGCAGGCAGTGGACGAGAAAAATCTCTGGGAGGACATTGTAAAGGAGCTGGGTCAGAAGGCAGAGGACACGCACAAGCTTCGGATGTACTATGTCATTGTGTGCTACCCGTACGAGCAGGTTGTTCACATTGCAAATGCAGCAGGAGATGCCCCAAGTACCATAATTGCAGTGTATATTGAGCCAAAAAAGGCTGATATACTTCCTGAGATTATTAACATACTTGAGCAGAAGAAAAGAAGAACGGAAGCAAAGTGCAAAGCATCTGCCAAGATTGTTGAAACAAGCGGTATTTTGGAGGTCTCTGTGGTGCTCAATGAAATGTATGTAAATGGGGTGCGGACAAACCAGGAGCTGATCGAGGCCATGGCGCACTTAAAAGGAGCCACGTGCACATCTGTCTCTATGAGAAGTGTTTTCTCCTGCTTAGAGGTGGCTCTTATTGAAAAGCAGCTTCGGACAATTATGACCCACTGGATTTCTAAGAGAGTGGAGGAGGTGTCATCCAAGGAGATCCCAGAAATAGAAAAAAAAGTCATTCGATCGTACGAGGCTATTCTTGCTGACACTGTGGAGCGCTGCATTACGCAGATGAAAGGCCAAAAAGGTCTTTCTGGTGAAGAGGAGGGAAGTGGGCATGCTGAGGATGTGCACAGCATATTAAAAGTCGAGGAGACGGTAAAGAGCAAAATAATCTGTTTGGAAAACTGCAAAGCACACACCAGTGCGTATGCATATCCATCTATCGACATGCAGGACAGCTACGCTGTGCGAAGGGGTGCTTGTGTATCACACCCGCACTGTGCGGTGCACCAGAACATCTTCTGTCCATGCGGAAAAACCCGAATAAAATTTGATGCGTTCGCAGACATATACTACAGCGCGCTTCTCTTTCTGGGGAAGTCCAGCACTCTGCACGTGTCAGAAGGCACTGCTCCTCTTCTTGCAGTGTTGCTAGAAACGCTTCCACTGGAGATGCTCTCGTTCAAGTACAAATATGTCTACAAAGCCATGCTGACGCTCTGGAATGTCCTAAAAGAGGACAAAGCAAGAGGTGTTCTTGCAGACCCGGGCGCAGGCGCCCGTTTATTGCAGCCTGGATTTGCCAAAATATCAAAAAAAGTAGCTAAGCTTCTAAGCTCTCCCATTCTTTCCAAGCCTGACATCATGTCCGTGATATCAAACGGCCAGCTGGAGATTATCCTTAAAATAGCAAATATGCCTGGTGGCCATCATATACTATCGCAGACGCGGATGCAGAGATTGTCTGAGATATGGAGATATCTTCTCTCCCTTGTGTGCAGCGGGTTCTTTATAGATGAGAACGCGCATCTTCTGAATACTGCTCTTGTTTCTCTAGACGGTCTTTCTGTGTATCTGCAAAAACACTTGGCTGGCTCAGACGAACTGCAGGCTGTGCTTAATCGCATGGATCTGGACTGTGGGGCATGGGTACTAGATGTGCTGGAAAAAGATGTTTTTGCAGACTCTGTGTACATGCTGTGTAACTTTCTATTTTCCAAGACGCATACCCTGAATGTGGCATGTCCAGAGCATGTACTATTATAACAATAAAATATTAGCCTTTTAATCGAGGGGTGTTCAAATTCAAATGCCTTTATTATATGAAACAGCAGCGCACTCCAGCAGAGCCGCTGCATCTCTTGCTGGGTTCTGCGCCTGGGCCACTGCGTGCAGCAGTCAATATGGAAGCTCACTTCCCTTTATCCAGCAGACTATAAAATATGTAGAAATAAAGCCTATTATAAAAGAGCACACAAATGCTTTTATGGATACAAGCCCTTCTGAGTTGTTTTGCTTTAAGAGAACATTTCTTTTCTCATATATCTTTCTACGCACTGGCTTCTTCAGCACTGTTTGCATAAAGATCTTTGCCAAAGTCTCATTCTGCATTTTTGGCACAAAATTCAAATTACTGAAATGCCAGGAGAAAAATAGCTAAAGAGCATGCAGCGCCTGGAATCTCTGAGAATAGCCAATAATATCTGTCTTCACATATCTGCACCTGCAGAGAAGGCTGAGCAGGAGGTCTCGAGTAGATGGATAGGCAAACGACTCTTTTCCAGCACACTAGACGCTTGTTGCATTATAGGCCCAGCACATCTGCCCATATTCTATTTCCTCTTCAGATATAAAGTCGCTATACGTTTTCGGATCAAGAACGCCCATGGCTATGGCTGCTGCACAGCCAACTTCATTGCGCACGCCAGCGTTTAGAAGTACAGCAAAATCACGGATCTCTTGCCTGGAAGGTATGCTGGTGCTAGCTAGTGTGCAGTTTTTGTCAACATATCGGAAAACGGGGCTTACAACCTGCTTGAGAAATATATCAGTAACATTACGCATTGCTGACATTATCCAGCCATTCGGGTTTTCAGTGTATACGCCTGCTGTCTCTGAGCACACAGGTCGGAGCAGGTCCTCGCCCACTGTGTTGCTGTAGTCTATTATGTTGTACCCCATGATCTTCAGAAGCTCAAACCTCATATTGTTCTCTGTATAGCATGTCATTGCGCCACTCAGTATATATTTGTTGCACTCCCTCAGCGCTAGTATGTGCCTTGTGTTCATCACATGCACGAACATGCCTAAGACTATCAGAAATGATAAGACATATGTTGTCACTATAATCATTACGAGGTATGTCTTGCTTGATCTTATAGTGTAAAATATATCTTTGATTCTGTCTTTAAGTTTAGTGCAGAAGGTGCACAAACTCTCACATTTCTTAGATCTATTTAATCCCTGCCCTTTACTTGAGCCTGATGGCGAGTTGACAATATATGTCGTCTTTCCCCACAGTGAGCGATAAGTTCTATCTTTCATAGACCTCGCTAGGAACTTTCCATAGTCCATATCACTTTGCGTGCATAGGCTGTAGCAGAGGCTTACAAGCACACACATCGAAACAAATACGCACATCTTCATCTTTTCTGCAAACTGCATGGCTCTATATCTACTTATAAATCCATCATAAGCTGTCATTTTATATTTTATTTTCTTTTAATTAGCGCTGTCTAGAAAGTACCAGATTCTTTATAGCATTCTGTGTGATTAGCACACATCACCCGAATATAACTCAAAAAGTTGATCCGTTTATTTATTTGAAACAATTTTACTGTATTAGGTGAGTGTCTGTGCATGCAGTCACCTTGCATCCGTAATCAAATTGATTCTCTCCATATTCTATGCGCAATAGCTGCAGATTTCTTCTTTTCTGCAAAGTATATTCAGATGGCGGGCCAAATTAAATTCTTTCCTGCTAGTGACTTAAAATAATACTCTAAATGATCATCCTTTACTCTATGACAGCTCTAATAAAAAATTATGGCATGCATCTGGCTGTCAAAAAATCGCCATAAAACACCTCTATGCTGCAGGCCAGTCTATACTTTTAATTATGTGGATCTTTTTAGAAAACATTACATAAAACATGCACTGGCTGTACTAATGATCATTTTTGTGTAGATGCGTTGCCTCTTCCTAACACACACTGCTGTTAAAACAACTCTTTTGTCTGGGTGTAGTGCGTCTCTAGAGCATCTAAACTGGGCTTCTACTTTACAAAAGAAAAGCTCATACTTTATAGTTTGCAGAAGGCCTATTCTTATATATATGCAAGTCAGATGGCAACCCAGCTTAAAATATATTTGATTTATGCAGCTTGGTTTATATACCAAAATCACGCAAAGAGCTTTAATAAATAGTAAATTTATAATATATGTCCATGTAAACCAGCTTAACATTTATTCCATGCATCCCTCTTTAAATCCAGTGCTGCCCTGTTATTTTGTAGAGAACCCTCTTGTATGCTATCAGCTCAAGAAGATGCTTCCTGTCTGGAAGGTCAATTAGATGCATAAACTTGTTAAAGAGGAACATCTCCTCAGAAAAGGCTGTCTGTGCCTGCTGTATGCACTCCTCCTTGGACAGGATTCCCCGCGTGTGCATGTTCAGCAGGAAGTACATATACTCCTCCAGGTGCTCTTCTGGCTTTTCTCGCTCCTCCTGCTTTCCGTAAAGCACGCCGCTTGAGGAGCTTCGGATTCTTCGGATGCGGTTTACCTCGTCTGGAATACTGCTCAGGTAGTACCCTGCTAAAAAGAGATACACCTCCTTCTCCAGCACGTTCTCCATGCGGCCCAGAATGCCTTTGATTGCTTCAGTGTACTTCTCTGGGAGCGGGTGCTTGCTGTAGATGGCCCTCAGGGTGGAGGACTGGCTGTACTGGAACCCAAGCTTTATGTGGTTGGGCGTCAGAATGTCCAGCTCAAGAAGCAGCGTGATCGCGTGGTGCACGCACTCTCTGTCCCGAATGCACGCGGAGATCTCTTCGCATCCTTCTGGGCTGCCGATCAGGGAGAGAATGTACAGCTTTTGTATCTTCTCTCTCTGCGTGTCCTCGTGCGTGATTATGAACGGGTCTGTCTCCAGCTTAATTGTGTGCTTCTGCAGAAGGAGAAGAATTGACTCAAGTGCGTCTGTCTTGTGCCGGGTTCCTATGTAGCTTATGAGGCTGTTTGCAATCTTCTCTACCATTGCAAGAGAGAGCGCGCCTTTGTTTATGATTGCAAGCTCTCGGAGCGCGCACAGCGGAAGAAACTCCAGCACCTGCGCAGCCACCTCCACTGCATCAGACGACGGGTGGATGCGCAGCAGCCGGCACAGCTGAGAGAAAAGAAGCGCAAAGTTTCCGGCTGCCTCCTCTATGCTCTGTCTATGCGCGCACAGTGTTCGAAAGCAGGCAGACACGTCCTCGCTGCTAAAGGTATACGGCTTGGCCTCTTCTATTGCAACAATTGCGGATATGGCTGCGCTCAGAACCACTGGGCTCTTTTCCTGCAGACACTGCTTAATCCGCTCCAGCTTTGTCTCGCCAAACACCCTGACCAGCGTGGGTGCTGCAAGAAGAGCTGACTTTTTGACAATGTCGGACTCTGAGGAGTATCTTTTTTCTATTTCGTGTGTGAAGTGGTTCAGAAACTCTGCGTCTGCTATCTTTGAGATAAAGTCGATTGCCAGCGCAGCGCGCAGTGCCGGAGACGGGCCGGTGCCCTCGTGCCCCGAGTTCATCTCCTGCATAAGCGAGTTTACTGCAAGGATCAGAAGAGACGAGTCACTTCGCACAGAGCGCAGGATGAAGGAGTATGCGAGACACTTTATTTCTATCGCAGAGTGCCCTATCATGCTCAGAATCTGCGGGAACACGTGCGCCTTTTCCTTGTGTGAGAGGCCCTTCATGGATATCAGGTGGAAGGCCTCCTGGAGCTTGCTCTTCTCCTCTGAGGCAAGAAGCTCTTTGACCTGCTCAAACACGCTTTTCAGTCTTGCTGTTGAGTTTGCAACTAGTGCGCTTTTCATGGTGTACATGCCTTTGTTTATTTCCCTCCATATGTATGTCTTTTTGTTTGTTTGCTGTTGTCGCATGGTTCTTTCCTTTCTTCCTGCAATGTGTTGTCTTAAAGCAGGCTGTTTGCTGCTGCTCAAACCCTCCCTTTCATAGCCGATTTTTTATGTGCATCTTTTGCATTTTCCTGTTCCTTCGTCTTTTTTTGATGTTTTTGTACTCTTCAGTATATTGTATGTAGACATAAAAATATATTTTATTTCTGCAGAGGTTTAGAAATTTAAAAAAATAGACATAACAAAAGGCTGTCACAAACAAATATAATACTACACTAAGAACACTGAAATAAAGAAAATATTACACCGACACAAGAAGATATTTTGTTGAACTTAATTCGGGTTATATGTACTATTGCTCTTGCCCTATAGAGATACTTTGTAAATATTATAGTAGTTTTATGGCCAACCCATTAAATATAACGGCATGCATAGAAAGCTCATTTATTAAATAGATCCTCTTTACAATATAGACTCCGTGGAGGAGGATCTGAAAAGATTGTATGCTGTGAATACGCTTGTTAAAACTCCAAAGAAACTTATTCCTTTTCGAACAATACTCATGTTTCTCTTAGGAAGGGCGACAGGCTTGGCTACCATCTTCTTAAATAAGTTAATTCTTGCTTTAATGTATTCCTTAGCTGATTCTGGCAAATCATGGCAAGTTTTAAAGAATGCATTCATTCTAGAGTCAATGGTTTTTTCTCTATACTTAAATCCTGTTGGATTTTTAATAAAAGCTAAAGAAATAGAAGAGCTGTTATTCTGGGCCACCAAGGCTTCATAGTCGATGTATTTCTCTGCATCCTTTGTAATTTCGCGAATGGCATTAAGCACGCAAAGTACTAAAGAGTCCGAGCGGGAAAGCTCAAAAAGAAGCTGCTTCTCGTAATCTGTTAGCAAAAAAGACCTTATGTTGTTTTTTTCAGTATACTGATCCAAGATAACCCGAAGTCTAATGAGTATATCTATTGCATAGTCTATGTTGTACACTCCGTCTGGTCTCTTCTCAAAAAGATCTAAATCTTGGACTTTGCACCCGTTCTCGTCCAAGTATGCTAAAAAATAAAATAGACTCTCTATTAGTGCGTCGTGTGTGCACGGGTTTGTGAACGTATTTTCATTTATAACTCTGAATGCATACAAAAGATAGCTGTCAGTTTTTAGCTCAGAATGCAATAGTATATATGTGTACCAACTGTTGATATTATTTTGTGCAAGCTGTATGGCGTTTTGCAAACCATCATTGCATAGCGTATTTATTAAAGTGATAATAAAATCTCTCTGATTGCGGGCGCTATCTTTTGTTTGCAGGATTGGTAGATCAAGGGTTTTTAGGTAATTTACTATATTTGCCTCTATAATTCGCCTTGTTATGGTTTTAAAAACCTCCTGATTATGGGGAGAGATACTTGAATCCATTTCTATATCTAAACTTCTAGTCACTGTATTTAAAATGAAAGGAAGTGCATCTATTCTCTTTGTAAAAAGAAGATCATTATCAGCACTAAATATTTTATCTGCTAGTGCAACAGCTGTTATTGGGTCAAGTTTTACTTTCATGTATACATTGCCCTGGAAAACCTCTCCTTGTGGCTTTTCAAATATAGCAGGAAGTGTATAGTCATGAACATCTGCAGTTTCAAGAATTAATTCTTCTCTGTTACAAACAGCCGCTGCTTGGTTAACAGACTTTTCTTCCTTAGGAAACATCATAAAAAATTTTAAAATCTAACGAAATTTAAACGATACTTTCTCTTACTATGTATAAAAGTACAGCACGTAGTAAAAGATCCAGGAAAACTTTTGATTTAGGCTTCTCTCTTTTTGGATGTGATTTTTATTCAAAAGTGTATCTAATATGCATTTCAGCATAGCAAAAAGTAAAGAAAAACCTCCTGAACTACTAAAAAAATGAAACGAAAGCAGTGTACCGCGTGCACGAAATAAACAAAAGTTCCCGTTGCTTCTACTTAGTCTCTTTTTTCTTCTGCGCATTGAACTCATTCTTCATCTTCCGCAGCAGACACACTCTCTCAACAGGAGTCTTTCCCTTAAAACCCTCAATTTCTGAGACAAGTTCTGTGTTGATGTAGAAGTTATGCTTTTTCTCTTCCTCTACAGTTAAAAATATTCTTTCCAGAGAAATGCAGGCTGGGTCTGGGACAAGCGTTCTTCGGAATTGCAGGTTACTCTCTCGGTACTCATGTCCGTAGTACACCGCCGTTGCAGGAGGAAGGGCTGCAAGTCGGGAAAGAGCAGCATACATCATCTCTCCCGTGCCCTCTGTGAAAAGTCCGCACCCCAGGTAGAACAGAGTGTCCCCCACAAAGACTGCTTTTTGCTCGCGCTTTGTGACATCGTGCACAACATACGCAAAGCTATCCTGGGTGTGGCACGGAACGTGCATGCACTCGATCTGCAGAGAGCCCACTTGAATAATATCCCCGTCTTTGCATGTCTTTGTGCAGTATGCCTTCTCAGAGCCTGCATATATTTCAGCCTGCGGAAACCTTCTTTTTATTTCCTTGTTCCCAGACGAGTGGTCCTCGTGGTGGTGCGTGGTGAGAGACACAACTGTAGCCTCTAGTGCAGAATGCCTTTTTGCAGCCTCCTCTATTTTCATTGGATCCACTGGGTCGACAAAGATAAGCTCACTCTGCGGACCAACCACCACGTACATTAGGTTGGTTTCTCTTGCACCAATGGGAACTATCAGCATAACACTGCAAAAGTTTTCTGCTTTCATTACAGAATGAATCACAGAGTTATTGAGATAAAGCAGCTGAGGGGAGAGTGTCGTGTTGTTGAGGTGGAGCCAGACCACGCAGTGTACATTGCAGATATATCTGAGTCGCAGGTGGTTATTAAAGGAAAGTGCATGAAAGTGGTTGCGATTGATGTGCAGAAGAGCATGATAGCAGTTCATTCAGTTGCTGTCACAGTGGAGGTCGCCCGGGCAAAGGCGTCGCTGTTTGTTCTGGGCGCGTGCCCGATGGCAGTGCTTGAGCAGTGCGTTGAGTGCCGCATAGGCGTGGTGGGAAAGAAAGCGGAGATGCGGCTGCGGAGATGTGCGTCTCTTTCACTCGTGCGCCTAGAGGGTGTAAACATGGAAAAGGAGACTCCCGAGTCGCTGGATGAGATGTGCCGGAGCAAGAAAGAGGAGCACCTTCCAGACGAGATGCAGATTCTTTTGGAGGAGGGTGCTGTGAAGAGCAGTATAGTAAAAAATGGATAAATATATAAATAAAGAAAGAACAGAATCTTTATAGTAGGGAGGGCTGTTTATGCCCAATCAGAGAGGAATTTAGAAGATGTTTCCTTCATTAGCAGTCCTATTTATCTGTGGTAGTTTTTTAAATTTCAGCGGGTTGTTGAAGATTTTCTTACGGCGATTGGGCTTTCTGGCCTTTTGCAATGCAGGATCCTCTATAGCAGATGCTTCTGAAGAGTTCTGTGCGGTAGAATTAACATATGGAGAGACATCTTTTGCAGGAGTGGATGGAGTAGTAGTGGGAGTTTTTGCAAAAGTAGTGGTAGGTTCAGCAGTAGTAGGTTCACTAGGAGTAGTTGTCTCACTAGAAGTAGTTGTCTCAGTGGGTGTGGTAGGATCACTAGAGGTGATAGCAGGTTCACTGAAGGCAATATTAGTTTCACTAGAAGTAGTTGTCTCTGTGGGTGTGGTAGGTTCTGTAAAAGCAATATTAGGCTCAGTAGGAGTGATATTAGTCTCTGTGAGTGGGGCAGAATCACCAGAAATATTAGGCTCAGTAGGAATGGTTGTCTCTGTAGAGATGTTAGTTTCAGTAGGGGCAGTAGGATTACTAGAAATAGTTGTTTCTGTGGGGGTAGTAGGTTCATTAGAGATGATTGTTTCTGTAGGAGTAGTTGTCTCAGTAAGGATGGCAGGTTCACTAGAGACAATATTCAGCTCAGTAGGAATATTAGTCTCTGTGGGTAGGATAGAATCTGTAGAATCAATATTAGTCTCTGTATGAATGACAGATTCACTAGAAATAGTTGTCTCAGTAGGAGTAGTGGGTTCATTAGAGATAGTTTTTTCTGTAAAGACAATATTAGTCTCAGTAGGAATATTTGTCTCTGTGGGTATGGTAGGATCTGTAGAAGCAATATTAGGCTCAGTAGGAATATTTGTCTCAGTAAGTGTGGTAGGATCTGTAGAAATGATGGCAGATTCACTGGAAATAGTTGTCTCTATAGAAATATTAGGCTCAGTAGGGGTGGTAGGTTCTGTAGAGACAATATTAGTATTAATAGGAATATCTGTATCACTAGAGACAATATTAGTCTCAGTAGGGGTGGTGTGTTCTGTAGAAGTGATGGCAGGTTCGCTAGAAATAGTTGTCTCTGTAGGAGTGATATTAGTCTCAGTGGGAGTGTCTAGACTAGAGGCAAAAGAACTCTTACTGGTGGCTGGTGTCTCGCTAGAAGACTTCTCTTCAGAAATAAGCGCTTCTGTGCGTGGGCTGTTTATCTCTGGCAGTTCTTCTATAGGAGGTGTTTTTTCTATATGCGCTGGATTATCAGAGACAGTGGGACCTTCACTTATAAGAGTCTCTTTAGAGGGGCTTGTGTTTGCTTCAGGCTCTTTTCCACGCGAATCAGAAGGTTCGTTGTGTACTTCAGGCATATTCGAGGCCTCTGTCTTGTTTTCGGGTAGGTCATCAAGAGAAGTGGCTGCTGTGCCAGGAATAGACGGTTCCTGAGGCGGTGGAGTGGGAGTTTCTTCTGCAGTAATTGTCTGCTGTGGGACAGGTGTGCTGGTGTCTATCTGTTCTTCATCTTTTTGGCCGACTGTGCCTGGCTGATATTCTGTGGTCGTGTGTTCTTCAGTGGGGTATTCGCTGAAGACAGATGAAGCACCGCTTCCTTCTGCTCCTGCATGGTCCTGCAGACACTGCTGCAGATCCTTCTCTGCACGCACATTTCTCGCAATCGCCCTGCTTTCTGCCTCTTCCAAGGAAGCAGCGGAGGCCCCGATCATGTCAAGTGTCTGGCTGGCTGTTTTGTATTTCTTGCTGTGCTCAGGGCCATTTGGAGTAATACTGGCACCACTGGCTGTGCTTGTTCTTGTCAGTCCTTCTCTGATCTGGGTAAGGGTTTCATCCAGCTGTGCGCGTATATTAACTGTCTCAGACACTATTTTTTGTATGGCCTTGTCCTTGCTGTCCAGGTCTGCCTCATTTGCTATTCCTGTCTCTTCAATCTCTGCCAGAATATGCTTTATTTCGCTGCTAAGATCCTGCAGTGTCTGTGCATACTGATCTTCCATGGACACCTGCTCACATATTCCTTCCTGCACCAAGGGCCAGTAACTGCAGTGATTTGCTGCATCTTCGTGAAGACGCGCAGCTTCTTCAGAGTACTCAAAGCACTTGCTCTGGGCTGTGCCGTTTGAAGACGCAGATGCATTTGGGTGCAAAGCCTGGTCTACGCTCTTGCACACAGAAGAAAGCACAGTCTGTGCAAGGGAGAGCGAGGACACGCCTGCATCTGAGAGCATGTTTACCTGACACGCACTTTCAAAAGCAACTGTCTGGTTCAGATGCGCATCCACCTTGCGCGTGCTCTGTCCGATGTGCTCCAGTGCCTCGCTAGCCTGGGATGCAGCCACTTCGACTGCTGCCTTCTCCTGCACCAGCATGGCTCTGAGCGGCTCTATACTTTTTTTTGAGTCGCAGCCTTTTTCATCTGGAGAGCCTTTCAGAAGACCTGTGTTTCCTGCGCCAAACCCAGTTTCCTCAAGAAGAGCGTCTATTTTGGCTTGCATATTCCTTCTGCTGCCAAGATGCACGCTTTGTTTCTCTTCATACTCCTCTATAGCTGTTTTAGTCTGTGCTATCTGCTTGAGGATCGCCTGGGTGTCTCTGTTCAGAGCAGACACGTCTTTCTGAAGGGAGCTAATGTGGGTGTGCGCCTCTGCAGTAGTATTCCTTTCCTGGGATATGCGGCTCTCAATTGTAGAATATGTAGATGATAGCTTGGTTGTTTCGTCCTTTAGAGCGCGCAGTGTGTCTTTGAGAGATTCTATCTCTGCAGAGGCGTCTTTTTCTTTCTGTCTGCTGCTATGTATGCGGTCTGCAACTTTTCTCTGTGCAGATGGCTGCAGCAGAAAGTTGTTGGCTGGGTGCAGAGTACTTTGCGCATCTAGCTCTGCTGCGTGCGACAGCTGTATGTCTCCTGCTGCAAGGCTTTTTCTTAGCCAGGCTGCAGCATTGGCCCTAGCTGCATCGGGCATATTGTTAATTGCGCTAATTACTTTGCTGTCAAAGGATTGCATCATGTCTTGCTCCCATGTTCGAGGCGGTGGCGTAGGATCTATCCTTGCAGAAGGTGCTTCTGTGGTCTGCGGAGCCTGCTCTCGCCTGCTTCCACCAGTATTCGCGTGGGATCTGCTGCTGGAGGGGTGCTGGTTCTCGCTGTGCACAGATCCTCGGTGGGAAGAAGGCGTATGTGCAGTGTGTGGTTTGTTTTGCAATGGCTGTCCTCTTTCCTGGTGTATTGGCTGTCCTCTTGCTCGGTGTATTGAATGCTCTCTTTTCTGGTGTATATACTGGTCAAATGGACACTTGGTGTCTTTTACGCGCATTCTCTGCTTCGCATTAGCTCTATTGTTAATCGTATTAATATACTGCATAATTCCATTCGACACGTTATCAACAAACTCTATCTCGCTGGCCATCACTGCCATCCCGCTCTTTAAAAAGCCCTGTGCTGCAGGCATATATCTCTTATCTGTTGGGCCTTTTGCAGACAGCAGACTCTCAATGTTTTCTGCCTCTTTTTGAAGATTGCGTTCGAACTCCTGCACTAGGCCGTAGTATCGCTGCACTGCTCTCTGCAATTCCTTCTTTATGCCGTGAACCTGTGTGTGAAGGGCCCTGTCTGCCCGAAACTCTTCTATTTTGGATGTGAGGAGAGAGAACGTTTCGTTAATCTCCCACTCTGCACCTTCTATACTGAAAGAAATGCCTTTTTGAAGCTGGCCGCTGTTTCTTTTGTATATTCCTATCATATCCATCATGTGGACTAACAGAGCCTGCACTTGGTGCGCGCCATTGCTCACCAGATGCTTAAACAGATGCAAGTCCTTTGCCAGTGCGTCCCTTCTGGGGCGTGTAGCATGTATGTGCTCAGAACACTCTTCACCTGGCGCTCTGTTTCTGCCTAACCCAGGGCTGCAGTTGTTCTGTGTCATTTCCAGCACTGCTGCATCGACTTGCTCTACCCACGCCATGAAGTTTTGGATCTCGAGCAGCCTGTATGTCTGCAGAGCTTTGAGCATGTCGTAGAAAGCCACCACGCGGCGCGGGGACACAAACTGTAAGTTTTCTTGGAGATGCTGCTGCATGCTCTCATACTCCTCCATCATCAGATGGGTGAACGCATTTGCATCTCCGTAGCACAGGCTGAGCTTGTCTACAAATACACTCTCTTCTGCAGCTCTTGCCCCCCGGGTGTCTCCTACTTGGCTGCACGTGTTTGCCACTAGTCCGTCTGCAATTTCCTTCTGTTCATTGGACCCTAGTGCTGCAGAGCTCATCAGGGCTCGCGCAAGTGGCAGCTCCCCGGGTCTTTCTACTTGCTTATATTTTATGCTGTGTGTCTGCCCAGCACTGCTTCCCGTCACAGGATCTGCTGAATCAACCAGAAGAAACAGCTTGTCGGGAAGATCCCTGCGCATCGCGATCCTACTGCTAAACATAAAATAAGGCGTGTCTGCTACTTCTCTG